GCTCAGCAGCCGGATATGTGTGATTCAATACCTTGCTGAAACTCATTCACACTGCTCGGCCTTAGGTGACCCAGGCTTGGATAGTTTGAAGCAAACAAAAAACCACGATACAATCTGAGCAGTCCCCCCTCCTTAACCTCCTTTCCGCTCCTCCCTCTCAAAGCCTCACCACCTCTTCTCCACCATCTCCCATTCCCCTTCCTCTTCCCTCCCCTCGCCCCCTCCACTCCTTCCCGTCGCTCCCCTGGAGCCCCTCTCGTGATCCCCGCGTTGCCAATTGCATCACTCCTGCGGGCCAGACTCATCTGCCGTACGACACTCTGCAGAGCAGGACCCTAATACCACTTCTACTATCCCTCCCAGCCTCGGCTCTTGCCCTCGGCGCTGGTGGTGGTGGGTTCTTAAGTGCCGCCCCAAGGATCTGGAACGCCTCGCCAGCGGGTGATCCGGCATGCTGCGAGCCTCGGTGCGCTTCGGGAAGGAGCGCCAAGACTCACTATTTTTCTTGCGGCTTTTTACTTAAACCATGATTTTATCGCCTTAGTGTACAATGTTTTGATATTAACATTAAAAAATAATTTTCAGTTTACGGTTCACTCCATTCTGCGAGCATCATCGTTTTGATAAGCTGTGTGTCCACGCAACGAGCGCCTTGAGTGAAGTCGCTCCCTCTCTCTCGATATAAGTGCACAATCAGATTGGAATGAAACGGGTGTAACATAGCTGTCATGTAAAAGAAGACGTGGGGTTGCGGGCGATTCATTCACGTTGCGGCTTCGGACTTGTGGCCAATAAAGTTAGTTTAGATCAGTGGTTTCTCAATATTTTTGTTGGCTACTACTCTTTTGTTGGCTACTACCCCCATATTGAATTTAATTTCCACCGAGTAGTTACCGCCCCCCCGGCCTGACACATCATGGTTCTGAGAAATAAATGCATGAATAAATTAACATCAATATCTTCTTTGGTTCTTTCGGTAAAGTCACGTAGAATGAGAATACAAAATAAAATAACACAATAAAATTATCACCTGAAGACGGCCGCTTGCGTTGTGGCCGAAACGTCGTGAAAATTTTATTGTGTTATTTTATTATTTTATTCTCATTCTACGTGACTTTACCGAAAGAACCAAAGAAGATGAATCCTTGCAGTCACGAAAGCTTTAAATCGGAACATCAATATTTTAACCAGTTTAACAAGTAGCACAGTTGGGGCTTTCGTGACCAATATTACCCATCATAGAGGGGTTTTGGGGGGTTATATCACGTAAATATAACTGTTCTGTCGTTAAACCCGCCACCACCACCCGAAACAGCCCATTAGTAAGGGCTCAGTCACGTAAACAAAACGTGCAAATTAGTTACTAGTACAGCACTAGCCGGTTGTGTGTTGAACAGCAAACCCCCTACAACATTTCAAATGTTCACTCTCCAACACACCGGTGTGCAGTACTAGCGTAGTGACTGACTCAGGGACACTAAGAGTAGGAGGCACTCTCTTTATTAAACGGCCTTAACAGTTCACACTTGGCGACTACGCTTCCCAGTCACGACAGCTGGTTGACTGCCTGACTTGCGACGCCGAGATGGTGAAGATGGGGACAACGGCGAAGACTCCAGCAGCAGCACGACGGAGATCCCGCTCCAAACGACAGCCCCGAGGTCCCCTCCCGTGGCCCCGCTTATACTGTCAGCGTGGTGTTGGCTCCGCCCCCTGCCACGCCCTCCCTTCTGGAACCGACTAGTGGGTTCTCGATGCGCCCCTTCCGTAACCTCTCCCCTAACATCCCTCTCTGGTCTATCACGTGACCTGCTGTCAGTCACGGCTGCTGCAAGCTGCAGATCCCCTTCCCTGCCAGCAGCCAGCGCTATGCTGCTATGTGACCGATTCTGTGTCACTACATAAGTAACGAATTGGCCCCGTTTTGTTTACGTGACGGGTGGTGGTGGCGGGTTTAACGACACATTTACATTAACGCGATCTAACCCAAATAAACCTCTATTATTGATACTATTTTAACCAATTGTTTACTTTGTGAGGTATAGGCACCTGAGCTTAGCCGCTAAGTAATTGCGCATTGTAAATTGCGCGTGCTCGCCGGCTACTCTTGTAGACCCGCATTGTTTACAATCGGCGAGTTTTAGAAATGTCTTTTACACATCGTTCTACGTTACCGGACGGATCTCAGTGGCATCGTGGTTATTTTACATCGGCGGATTCATACGATGCGACCGTTCACCGACGATGTAATGTCACACGCACACACGTTAATAAATGTACCCCTCTTGGGGCATTGCCACGTGTACCCACCCCCCTCCCCCACCAATGGGGGGGTCAGTATAGCCCCAGTTGAGAACCCACTGGGTTAGACAGCCAGGCCGGGATCGGCTGAGCTTTTACATTTTAATGTTATTCTTACAAAAGAGATTCACTGAGGTTTCCGCGAGGATCAAATGCTGCGCACGCTTTCCATACCATACCATGCAAGGCAAAACGAATCGATCGTAACGACGCTTTCCCAGACAGCAATACTTGATAACAGGGTGACGTTTAATCACAATAGTCATAATAAATCATAAAAACGTATCATGAGAATACCTTTTTTGACTGTAGCAGAGGATTAAAAATAAGAACAGGGTTTTTACCCTTTCTGGCAATGAAACAGGAGTTGTGTTAAGATGTTCAAACACCACATAGATGCCTATCTGGTGTCGGCCAATCAGTTTCAAAGACAAGACAAGTATATTATCAGAGCATGATTGCATGGCCACCACAAGTACGTGTGGTTAATGCAGACTTGATGATTCCTTGCAAAAGGTATAATCTATTTGGTGTTTGAACATCTTAACGCCTGTTTTATTACCAGAAATGGCAAAACCCTATTCTTATTTATCATAATCATAAACATGATTCGGAAACGCGTGCATATTTCGCAAATCGGACGCATTGACCTTCGATTGAGAACTCGGAGGTTCGGAGGTGTGGAGCCAGAGCTCCAAGAAGACCTGGACAGGTGAGGGTCTGGATCGATGAGGGTCTGGATGGATGAGGGTCTGGATCGATGAGGGTCTGGACAGGTGAGGGTCTGGTCAGGTGAGAGCCTGAACAGGTGAGTGCCTGGACAGGTGATCCTTGAGCTGCTGTTTGAAGTATGGCCCAAACCCCGATGACTGACAAGACCCCTAGGAAGGCCTTCATCCCACAAAGCAGCTGGTCGCCAATCACCGTAAATTATATACTTTTTCTTATCCGTTGAAAAACTAAGCAACACTCGCCCATACATAATGAAGATATTGGAAAATCGGCTGCTGTATCATTACGCTCGCTGTACGCGCGAGTAATATTATGTGTACATGGAATTGTGGACGTACGTAATTGGATTTTTTTTTCATTTTCGTTTACCATTATACAACCTATAACCCGATCATTCGTCATAGAGGTCTTTGAGTTAGATCGCGTAAATGTATCCCACCGATTGGCTGTGTCGGATGGTGGTGGCGGGGTTCAACGATGCATTCATATTTACGCGATCGAACCCAAAACAACCTCTGTTATGGATAATATTTGTTGTCGAAAGCCCTACCACGTGTCCAACCCGATCATTATAGGTTCTACATGCACCGCACGGGAAATACAAATAAATCAACCCCAACTGACTAGTTCTGTGATGTCGTGCGACAGCCCAGACCGCGATAACGCCTCGAGTATCGTTACCCGCCTCCTGTGAGCCACGCGTTGGCTTACATCTCCACCGGAGGGAGACGAAGGCGCCTAGGCGTGGCGGTAATGGTGGGGGTGGGGAGCAGTGGTGTAACGGTTAGCGCTACGCTGCGCTCACGACTCCAAATGAGTAACTGGTGCGGTGTGTAGTAAACATCACCAGTGGGGAGACAAAATTCGGTCGGGCGTCGTGCCATTCCGGCCTTCATAGCACTTGCCCCAACATTTTGTTACAGGCTACACGGGGCATCTTTGTCTTTGTAGGCGCTGCTACTCTCTACTAACAGCCACTTGCCCCCAACAGTACATTCGAGGCTACACGGGGTAGGGGGGGAATCTTTGTCTTCGTCGTCTTTGGTGAAAGATCAACATCGCTCACGCCGTGGTCCCACGTCAACCGTGACCTGACTCCCCCAGGGGGAGGGGGTGTGGGGGAGGGGGGAGGCGCCGGGGGGGGGGGGCGCCGCCGATGATCGCTGGACATCGGTGATGAAAGAGCTTCGTAGCCCATCGGATTCCTCCGCTCTGCTGAACCGAGATTAAAACAAACAAAAAAGGTTCAAGATCGTTTGTGCTGCAAACAAACAAAAAAAAAACGGCGGGTTCACGCCGCCGCCTCAAACTCTTCCATCCGACCGCTTCGCTGATCCCGACCGGGTGAGCGTTAAACCCTCGCAAACTCCAACTCCGGTGGTCACCATCATCCTCGCTAGCAGCAGCAGCGGCAGCGACTTTTGGCTGGCAGTCGAACAAAGAGGGTCCACTCTCCAATCGCCCGCCGAAAGTCAGTCGCCTCCCTATGACTCTTCTATCGCTACTGCCACGGTTGCTGTGCCTCCTTCAAGGAGCTGTAAACCTTCATCACCTGAATTCCAGTCATCTTCGCTAACAGCAGCAGTGGCAGTGGCTTTTGGATGGCCATTGAAGAAAAAGGGTCCACTCTCCAGTCGCCCACCGAAAGTCAGTCGCATCCCTATGACTCTTCTATCGCTACTGCCACGGTTATGGTTCCTCCTTCGTCAAGGAGCTATAAACCATCGTCACCTCAATTCCGGTCATCCTCTATAGCAGCAGTGGCTTCTGGCTGGCCGTCGAACAAAGACGATCACCGGCATCGCGCGGCGCTTTCAGATGCGCTTCCGCGGCCGTCTGGAATGCTCTTCCTTCCGATATTAAGAAGCCACTGGGAGCTATGATGCACTTTTAAATCATCACCTAGATTGACAAACTCATTTCTTCAGAACTGCTTTTAGTTTGTTGTCCTTCCCCCGCATCTCTGATTAGCAAGGTTGGCTACGTACGGTGGTGCGGAATAAGCTCAATGCATACACACACACGAGCACATTATCGACGGCCGCAAAGTGGTGCACCTAGCCTGGCACAAGCGCCGTGGGTGACGTCACCTGCCGCTTAGTGCCTAACGGCGGCCGTTGTGAGATGTTAACTACCTCGCCTGGTATGCAGGAGGTCGTGGGTTCGATCCCGACCCTAACGCCTGCTGTTGTATATTTGGAGTCTGTCTCTCTCTCTCTGTGGTCGCGTGGATCTTTCTCCAGGCCCTCCGCTTTCTCCTCTCCACATTTAAAGTCAAAGTCACCGCGCGTTTACAGCATTTGGCTGCTGCTATCCATTTCCACGTGATGATGATGACGATAAGCCGCTTCGTTGAGCTATCATTTGTCATAGCCAGGTTGCTCCTCAAAGACAGCTACATAGCAGCTTAGTAGGACCTTACACCTGGTAAAGTAAAAAAAATAGTTCAGTTCAGTTTCCTCTCCTGCTGCTGCTGCTGCTGCTGATACCGAGCAGGGAAACCACGGTGAGGCCCAATGCTCAAATCATGTGACTGGGCGCTACGGTCGTCTTCTTGTTCTTCTTCCGTACGGCTACAGATGTAGATGCAGAGCAACAGCTGCAATATAACATTCAGGTGGCGGTCAAGCCAGCAGACAATCGTGTGAGGAGCCAGCGGAGTAGCATATCGCTGCGATGTCTCTATTAGTCTATGGGTCTATGGATCTCTATGGGTCTCTATGAGCCTGGGCCTACAAGAGTCTCTGGGTCCGAGTCTCCACGGATCTCTGTGAGTCTCCGTGGGTGCCTACGAGTCTCTGCGAGCCTCTATGGTTCTCCGAGTCTCTGTGCGTTTGTATGGGTCTGGATCTCTATGGGTATCTAGGAGTCTTCTGTTTTCGTACGGCTGCTGACGTAGATGGCAGAGCAACAGCTACAATGTCACATTCAGGTGGTGGTCAAGCCCAGACGACCGTGTCAGCAGGAGCAGTAGCGGAGTAGTGAATCGTCGTCGGCATCGCTGTGACGACGTCTCCTCCTTCGTATTTGTGTACCGCGGCATTGCGTCGTTACGCGTTGTGTACGGTCCTGCAGTCATGGCACTGCCACTACCGGAGAGAGTTTCCGATTTTCCATTTGTGCATCATCGGCTACCATCCGCAACTGCTGCCATGATTTATGCAGTGCCTGATGCGGTTTAAGGTGGGACCATGAACAGCTTCGTGGAAGATCAAACCCCAGGGAATCTTCTGCGTTGGGTCTTTCACAACAAGGCGGTGTCTGTTTGTGAATTCTTTTGAACTTCATTCAGCTCTCCAAGCTGAATGAACAGATGTTACCTCCCTCGCCCGGTATGCAGGAGATCGTGGGTTTGATCCCAACCCTGACACCTGCTGTATATTTGGAGTTTGTGTCTCTCTCTCTCGCTTCCTGTGGTCGCGTGGATTTTTCTCCGGGACCTCCGGTTTTTCTCTCCCACATTTATAATCGACATCACGCGTTTAAGAGTATTTGGCTGCTGCTGCTGCTGCTATGAATTTCCATGCGAAGACGACGATGACATCAGTCACCCTTCGCCGAGCTACCGTTCATGATGGCCAAGCCGCTTCTGAAAAAGGAAGCTATTGGGGGGGCCTCACACCTGGTGAAGAAAAAAAAATGTACGTAGTTCAGTTCAGTTCCAAGTTCACTCAAGGGCGTGCACGACGAAATGTTTCTTGAGCGCGGAGATCCGCGTGAACCCCTTGCCGCACTCGACGCACACGTGCGGCTTCTCGCCCGTGTGCGACCGCGTGTGCCTCTCGAAGTCGGATCGCTTGGCGAAGCCCTTGCCGCACTCGGCGCAGACGTGCGGCCACGCGCCCGTGTGCGACGCCGAGTGCGCCTCCAGGTGCGAGCGCTTGGCGAAGCCCTTGCCGCACTCCCCGCACGCGTGCGGCCGCTCGCCCGTGTGCGTGCGCGCGTGCGTCTCCAGGTCGGAGCGCTGCGTGAAGCCCTTGCCGCACTCGGCGCAGACGTGCGGCCACTCGCCCGTGTGCGACGCCGAGTGCGCCTCCAGGTTGTAGCGGTGGGCGAAGCGCTTGCCGCAGTCGGGGCACGCGTGCGGCCGCTCGCCCGTGTGCGTGCGCGAGTGCTTGGCGAGGTCGAAGCGCGTCGCGAAGCCCTTGCCGCACTCGTCGCACGCGTGCGGCCAGTCGCCCGTGTGGATGCGCGAGTGCTTCTTGAGCGTGAAGCGCGTGGCGAAGCCCTTGCCGCACTCGGGGCACACGTGCGTGTACTCGCCCGTGTGCATCAGCGAGTGCGTGTTCAGGTTGTAGCGCGTGCGGAAGCGCTTGCCGCACTCGGCGCACGCGTGCGGCTTCTTGCCCCCCGCGCCGGCGGGGGCGGCGGGCGGCGCCGGGGTGCCGACCATCGTCTTGCCGCACCGCTCGCAGGCTCCCGCCGCCGCCCGATCGCCGGTCCGGCCGGTCCGCTCCGCTCGGTCGGACGCCGAGAAATGGACGTCTTCCTTTGCCGTTGCTGCCGTGCACTCCCCGCACAGGAGCTGCATTTGTTTTGGCTCGGCCTCTGTGAAAGAAAAAAAAACATTTATTTTAATGAGAAACCGCGCCGCTAGATTAACGGGGGAAACATTTCAACGATCGGTGCCAGAAACGACGCCGTCATTTTATCGCGGTGCAAAAGTATGAAGGTATCTTTGTTGTTCTTCTTTGGTTCTTTCGGTAAAGTCACGTAGAATGAGAATAAAATAATAATTGATAAAATAACACAATAATATTCTCACGACGTTTCGGCCACAACACAAGCGGCCTTCATCAGGTGAAGGGGGCGAGACTGTCTGGTAGGACAGCGCTGGAGTGAGAGAGCCACGTTCAGATCACGGCTTTTAAGCCTCAAATTTCCGTAAAAGCCGTGATCTGAACGTGGCTCTCTCACTCCAGCGCTGTCCTACCAGACAGTCTCGCCCCCTTCACCTGATGAAGGCCGCTTGTGTTGTGGCCGAAACGTCGTGAGAATATTATTGTGTTATTTTATTTTATCAATTTATTATTTTATTCTCATTCTACGTGACTTTACCGAAAGAACCAAAGAAGATGAATCATTGCAGTCACGAAAGCTTTAAATCGAAATCTTTGTTGTTGTTTGGGTTAGGTCGCGTAAATATGCATGTGTCGTTACACCCGCCACAGCCACCACCCGACTTGGCCAATTAGTGAGGTTTGTGACGTAAACAAAAACCTGCCGATTAGTGCACTACTTCAGCACACCACCGTTTGGAATGCTCTTCCTTCCGATATTAGGAAACTACCGGGAGCTACATGCTTTTAAATCATCATCAAGACTGACAAACTCATTTCTTTACAACTGCTTTTTGTGTTTAGTTTGTTGTCACTTTTCCCACACCTCTGATTAGCACGGTTGTCTACATACGATGGTGCAAAAGTTACACATACATATGTACGGTTGGCTACATACAGTGCAAAAGGATTTCAGCATGCATACGTACGGTTGGCTATGTACGCTGAAAAAAAGTTCTACATACATACTGTTGGCTATGTACAGCGCAAAAGAAGTTCAACATACGTACAGTTGGCTACTTACGGTGCAAAAAAAGTTCAACGTACATACAGGTCACCCCCGACTAATGACGGCTCGACCTGCGACCCCTAGCTTTTAGCAAGTACGACAGTAACAACCGAAACTCGTATCTACAACCGCCTAACGACTGCTACCAACGCCGAGCCTGATGGCACTGCTTAGCCCGACAGTTGCGCTTAGAGCGAACGCAGCGTCTCTTTCTCAACGATCTTCACTTTTTCGTAAATTTTCTTCACATTTTGCGCCTTTTGCCGTGTCCGAGAAGAGGAAATGTGATGCACGTTCAGAGAATTACTTGAGGATTTTCAAATGCGAGTGTTTGTTTTAACTTAATAAATGTTTGCAAAGGTTATACAAAAGTTACGCTAAATGTTGGTCAGGGCTATTTTAATTTATTTTCGTGGTAAACTTCGCTATTTTTACGGCACGTGATGGGTTTCCAGCAATGGAACCGCAAATGTATAACGTCGCATCTATGAGAAATAAGGGGTTCGACTTACGACGGCTCGACTTGTGACCAACATTAGGTCGCAAGTCGGTGCGGGGGTCGCCTGTACGTACACATGTATGATTTCTGTGTGGGAATTTCTTCACCAGTCATAGGGTAGCACAACTGGAATTGTAGCAGTAGTAGTAGTGATAATAAAAAAGCAACCACCAAAAATGTTTAAAGCGGCCTTTCATGTTGAAGCGTCTCAAAGTGCTGTACGTGAAATAAATAAAACTGCGCTCACAAGTTGAGAGGAAAATCGAAGCAAAATTTAAAAAAACCAAGCCGATTAATAACAATATAAAAATTCCAATAAAGTGAAGAACTGTGATAAACGCGAATAATTATAATTATTATGACAGAGTAATCCAAATCAGACAACAACTTTGATTTTTAAATCTGAAAGCTACGGGGGAGAACCCCCGTAGCTTGAAGACGACAATTTAAAGAGTATAACGGACTCAGAATTTGGGACTTTTTTTGCCAGTATCAAAGTATGGAAAAAACAAGAATAGAACAAAGAATAAAAAAAATAGGCAAGAACGGGTAAAACCATAATGTATGGGTCTTTCGGTAAAGCCAGATAGATAGAAAAATTATAAAAATATCACGACGTTTCGATCGCAACACAAAGCTGTAGAGGGCGCCTTCTGTTCTTACATTTACATGCAAATTCCATTTCTAGCCCCGCCCACTTACCCTTGGGCTGCACCCATCTCAGGCCTATATAACATCCGGCTTCATCAAGCTCTCTCGCTGTATTTTTTCATCTGAAGACGATTGCTTGTGCTGCGATCGAAACGTCGTGAATTTTTTTTTTTTTTATCTACGTGGCATTACCGAAAGACCCATAGAATATGTATTCCTGCAGTCACGAAAGCTTTCAGTCAAGATTTAGGTTAAAACCCATTCTCATTTTTTCGGACTCAGAATTGAAAAAATAAGAATAGGTGTTCTGGAAATAAAACAGGTCGTTAAAATGACCAAAGACAAAATCTAAACGTTTGCAAGGAATCAAGGTGCTTGTCGTGAACATGCGAACAAACACGCTCTGTGACAATATATAAAGGCATTGTCTTTGAAACTGATTGGCCTACACCAGAGACAGCCTTCTTTAGGGCCTAGTCTCACGAGCAGTGTCAGACCAGAGAACGCCAAAAGGCGAACAGTACAAAAACAATGCACTATAAGGGCATTTATAGCTAGGGGTGAGCAGCTACAAGATGAGACCTTTATGCCACTATCAAAGTTGGATTTCTCTTTCTGGCAATAAAACTGGTGTAAGGATGTTCAAACACCAAATAGAAACCTTTTGCGGACAATGGATATTATCTGCAATTTTGAGATTCTTTAGATTATTTTGGGGCTATAAATCTCCAAATGATAAGCCACTTTGTTGAGCTATCATTTGTGACAGCCAAGTAGGATGGTGATGGTAGGATGGGGATGGTTTAGTGTTGTATTTGTATGTAGTTCGGGTGATTTGTTTACCTGACTTATACTTTGCACTCCTATCGTGTTTTTGTAACTGTGTTTGTTGTCGTAACTTTCTTACCCTGTGCCCCTCCTGGACATTTGTGAACAAAGAGATTTATAGCTCATCAGATTCCTCCTGCAAGATAAATATTCTGATTCTGATTATTTATTAGTGCAGAATAATCGAGACTATTTCTCCATTATTATTGAACACATCGCGTTTGCTGCTTCTGCCGCTGCTGCTGCTGCTGTGTGCGATGCGATCAAAGAAAGGTGGAGGACAGGTAAACACTCCTTCTCGCTCTCTCTCTCCTCTCTCCCTCCTCTCTCTCTCCTCTCACCTTGGCCCGTGTCCTCCTCGGACAGCTCCACCTCGATGAAGTTGCGATCCCGAGCTTCGTCATCACGCCCACGGGGGCCCCACCTCGTCTCTGCTCTCCCGCGGGGTTCCTCGACTCGAGCGGCGGCGTTCGGAACGGCGGCTGCGAAACATTTTTTGAGAAACGCAAACCCACTAACCTTCGACGGAGTCGGGACTGCTCAATGGGCGCAAACGCGTACGTTGACCTTCTTTCGCTACCGTACGTAGCCAACCATTGATAATCAAACGTGCGGGTCAGGAGCAGGGTTTTCCAAATTATAAACGAAACTATTTTTTATTTCTACCAGGTAAGGCCTTCCCACTGAACTAGGTAGCTCTTTTTCAGAAGCGACCCTGACCATCACAGATGATAGCTCAACCAAGTCGCTTATCATCATCATCATCACGTGGAAATGTATAGCAGTAGCCAAATACTCTGGACGTGTGATGTTGATTCTAAATGTGGAGGGGAAAAACCGGAGGATCTGGAGAAAAATCCTCGCGACCACGGGGAGAGACAGAGAGAGAGAACACGCAAACTCCGAAAATACAGCAGGCATCAGGGTCCGGATCGAACCCACGACCTTCTGCATACCAGGCGAGGTAGTTAATATCTCCTAGCCACCGTGGCGCCTACGGTTACAGGTCAGGGGTAGGGTTAGTGAGGGTTAGGGTTAGTGTGGGCTACACATACCCTGCAATGTTTCCTCCATCTTCGATACGTGTAGAACAACAGATAAGTGAGGCCATTGCAAAGCTCACGACTGCATAAGAGTGTGATTACCCAGACTCACACTGAGACCAATAGACTCAGAGACCCATAGCCTGACCACACAGAGATCCATAGACTCATGATATGCCTCCAGCAGTAGCACAACCCAGTTGTGATTTATGGCAGTACAGTAAAACCTAGGATTGCGAGTAACTTGGTCTGCGAGTGTTTTGCAAGACGAGAAAAAATTGTAAATAAATATTCATTTGATAAACGAGCGAGGTCTTGCAATACGAGTAGTACGTATACGCTTGTCTGCCGAGCGTCACGTGATCACAACTGATATACGAGTGCTTTGATATACGAGTGCTTTGGATTACAAACACGTTTTCGGAACGAATTATGCTCGCAATCCAAGGTTTTACTGTATAAGGCTCACTGAGCTATGCACTTTTAAATCATCTCGATTGAAAACTCGTTTCTTTAAAACTACTTTTTGTGTTTAGTTTGTCGTCCTTCTCCCACACCTCTGATTAGCACAGTTGGCTACGTAGTATGGTGTGAAAGAAGTTCAACACACACATGTACATACACACGTATGTACGTAAGTATGTTCCAAACTCTACACTCAATGGTGGAACTCACCTTGACCAATGTCCTCCTCCAGCAACTTGACGACGATGAATTTCTTGACATCTTCCGACCACACCTCCATCTTCACCAACTTCTTGCCGGGTACGGCCGGATATCCGCGGGTGTCTCCCCTCTCATCCTCATCCTCCTCCTCGTCCTCTACCGGTGTCTCGGTGTTTCTTTCAACTTTAACATCCTTCAGATGTCCGGCTGTGGTGGAAAAATCTAATCAAATTTGGAAGCACTTTTTCATCGTCGGCATCTTTCAAGAACCAGAAATGCGTTGGGAAATTTCAAAAACGAGGGGAGGAAGAGGAACCGGCGGGTAACGTATACATGCCTATTATATTTTTATTACTTTATTGTTTCCCTTCTACGTGACTTTACCGAAAGAACCAATATGAATCCCTGCAGTCACGAAAGCTTTAAATCAAAAGTATACATACCTATCAACACATACGATTTAGCCATATTCTTGTACAGGGAAATTGAATTTTTAGGTCCATACGGCATACAGCTGTTTCAATATGGGCACATTTTTTGTCTATTCGTTTGTTTCTCTCCTTGCGATGGGACTTTGCAGGATGAACGTTGAGATTTATAAGGGCATGGGGTGACCAATAAGGTCTGAATTGGTCTGTAATAAGGTACAGCACTGATAAGGGGTTGACAGGTTTGTAGTGGTGAGTGTAGTGGTTAGCGCGGTATTATGTGTATTATCTTTCATTCTTTAGAGAGCCTAGCCTCGAAAGAAAGCTGTCTCTGGTGTGGACCAATTAGTTTAAAAGACAATGCAAATCCTACCAGAGCATGTTTTTTTTTGCATGTTCACCACCAGTATGTGTGTGATTAATGCAGACACGATTCCTTGCAAAATGTTTCTGTTTCGTGTTTTAACATCTTAACACAACTGTTTAATTTCCAGAAAGGGTAAAACCTATTCTTATAGTTTGATACCGGCAAGGGAGGTCCCATGATATGGATAATATGTCGCGAAAGCTTTCTACCACGTGTCAAACAACCGCTCTGTGCCTCTCATGCACAAGACCAGAACCTTGGCGCTGCGACACTTTGATTCTGCGCTTTTTGATTTTTTGTTTGTTCACGCCACGGTTTGTTGGAGGCGTCTCTCACCGGCGGCAGTAAATCCACGTTTCACCGTTGGGTCCGGACCCGTCCCGGTGCTTGGATAGTCTTCATTTTCTTGCTTGATGAACGGCAACTTCACGTCTAAATCCATCTGAGGATCAAAAACAACCAACGATGTTCTATTTATACGTATTTTTCTTACCAGGTAAGGCCCCCACTGAGGTCTTACGTAGCTCTTTTTCAGAAGTGACATGGCCATCGCAAATGATAGCTGCTCAACCAAGCGGCTAATTATCATCCTCCTCATCGCGTGGAAATTTATAGCGGCAGCCAAATGCTCTCTAAATGCTTGACGTTGATTCTAAATGTGGTGGAGAAAAACCGGAGGACCCGGAGAAAAATCCACGCGACCACGGGAAGAGAGAGAGTCACGCAAACTTCAAATATACAGCAGCAGGCGTCAGGCTCGGCATTGAACCCATGACCTCCTGTATACCAGGCGAGATAGTTACCGTCTCTCCACTGTGGCGCCCCATTTGATGTACAAAGGCAAAAAAAGACAAAGATCCCCCGTATAGCCTGTAACAGACTGTATGGGAAAAGTGCTGTTAGCGAGTAGCGGCAGCGTCTATGAATACCGGCACGGCACACGAGGTGGTGGGGTGACTAGTATCACGCCCGGCCGCCTTTGTCTCCCCCAGTGGCTGCTGTCAACTCGAGCCAGAAAAGAAGACAACTGAATGGGAACTGTTGAGGCAGTGGCTTGAACTAGGTCACTCGCTCTGAGTGCTCACCCTGATGAAACGAATTAAACTTGAACTCATTCAATCATAATAGCCACTCACCACCTCAACCACCCGGCTCATTCACTCACCCAATCATTCACGCACCCACCCACCCACTATTGCAAAATTAGACCATATTTGAGTCCGCACCGGGTTAAACAAATTCAACTCACAAATCATATCGCTTCACTGATGCCCACTCACTCACCCACTCACTCATCCGCTCAAATATTCACTCACTCACTCTAGCAAATGAGATTCTATCCTCGTCGATGATACACAAATGGAAATTAAAAACTCTCTCCAGTAGTGGTGATGCCATGACTGTGGTCATCCAGAACAGAACACAACCCATTACGATGCAATGCCCCGATACACAAATACGAAGAAGGCGACATCACAGCGACGATGATTCACTACTCCGCTACTGCTCCTGCTGACGCGGTTGTCTGTGACTTGACCACCACCTGAATGTGAAATTGTAGATATTGCTCTGCCATCTACATCAGCCGTACGAAAGAAGAAAAATGTCATCAGTAGCAGCAGCATCATCGGCAGCCAGGGTCTATCCACTGTTGGATGAAGGCCTCTCAGAGCCTTCTTTTACAATTCATCATCATCAGCTAGTGTGCGATTGTGGTCATCAAGAACAAGGACCGTACACAATGCGTAACGACGCAATGACCCCGATACACAAACACGGAGGAGGAGACATCACCACAGCGATGATGATGACGATTCACTAGTCCGTTACTGCTCCTCCTGATGCGGATATCTGCTGGGCTTGACCACCACCTGAATGTTGATGACATTGTAGCTGTTGTTCTACAGTGTCCACATTAGCATCATCATCCATATGGAAGAAGACTCTCAGCAGCAGCAACATCAGCCAGGGTCTATCCACTGCTGGATGCAGGCCTCTCCGAGCCTTCTATTGCAATTCATCATCAGCAGCAGCATCATCATCGGCCAGTGTGTGGCTGTGGTCATCCAGTCCAGAGAACGTTCACACCGCGTAGCGACGCAATGCCCCCGATACACAAATACCAAGAAGGAGACATCGTCACAGCGATGATGATGATGACGACGATGATGACGATTCACTAGTCCGCTACTGCTCCTGTTGATGCGGTTATCTGCTGGGATTGACCACCACCTGAATGTCGATGGCATTGTAGCTGTGTCGCTCTGCAGTGTCTAACATCAGAAGCCATAGAGGAGAGACAGACAGAGGAAGTTCCTCACCTGGTTGAAACGAGGCCGACCCTGACACTCGGCCACCGCACGACGCTGGGCCGTACGTCACGGACTGATATGGTAATTCTATTGTGACGTCACAAGGGCATGGCTGCAGGTTTCCCGGCCTCGTCGGCCGGTCCCAGGGCCAGGATCAACAACAACATCCACGCTCACTTTGCCCTCCGCTACAAATAGTCATCTGTCACTCTCTGTGTCTATGTCCCCATCTGTATGTCCAACTCCGTCTATCTTTCCCAGTCTGTCTCCACCTCTGGCTGTCTGTCTGTCTCTCTGCATGTATATGTATATCTCTCCCTTTATCGATGTACGTATGTTGAACTTCTTTTGCACCGTATGTAGCCAACCGTGCGAATCGGTTGGCTATCTGTATCTTTTTCCAGTCTGTCCGTACCTGTCTTTTTGCATGTATATGTGCGTCTCTCTCTCCCTTTATCTAGGTAACAATGAACTTCTTTCGCACCGTACGCATAGCCACCCGTGCTAATCTATAGTCGTGTCCGTTCGGTGTCGGTTGTTATCTCTTGTCTCTTGAAGTCGACACGTCTCTTTGTTCATTAAAAACTTAACTACATATATATTTTTGTTATATTTTACCAAGTGTAAGAAGGCCCAACTGTGCTCCTGCGTAGCTATTTTTTTCAGAAACGGCTCTGGCAATCACAGATGATAGCACCTCGACGAAGTGTCTTGATCTCTGTGGTATGTGTCTGTGTGTCTCTGTCTGTCTGTGTCTTTATCTCTGTGGTGTGTGTCTGTGTGTCTCTGTCTGTCTTTATCTCTGTGGTATGTGTCTGTGTGTCTCTGTCTGTCTTTATCTCTGTGGTAAGTGTCTGTGTGTCTCTGTCTTTATCTCTGTGGTATGTGTCTGTGTGTCTCTGTCTGTCTTTATCTCTGTGGTAAGTGTCTGTGTGTCTCTGTCTGTCTGTGTCTTTATCTCTGTGGTATGTGTCTGTGTGTCTCTGTCTGTCTGTGTCTTTATCTCTGTGGTATGTGTCTGTGTGTCTCTGTCTGTGTCTTTATCTCTGTGGTATGTGTCTGTGTGTCTCTGTCTGTCTTTATCTCTGTGGTATGTGTCTGTGTGTCTCTGTCTGTGTCTTGATCTCTGTGGTAAGTGTCTGTGTGTCTCTGTTTGTGTCTTTATCTCTGTGGTATGTGTCTGTGTGTCTCTGTCTGTCTTTATCTCTGTGGTATGTGTCTGTGTCTCTGTCTGTGTCTTGATCTCTGTGGTAAGTGCCTGTGTCTCTGTCTGTATCTCTGTGGTATGTGTCTGTGTGTCTCTGTCTGTCTGTCTGTCTTGATCTCTGTGGTATATGTCTGTGTGTCTCCGTCTGTCTTTATCTCTGTGGTATGTGTGTGTCTCTGTCTGTCTGTCTTTATCTCTGTGGTATGTGTCTGTGTGTCTCTGTCTGTCTTTATCTCTGTGGTATGTGTCTGTGTGTCTCTGTCTGTCTTTATCTCTGTGGTAAGTGTCTGCGTGTCTCTGTCTTTATCTCTGTGGTATGTGTCTGTGTGTTTCTGTCTGTCTTTATTTCTGTGGTATGTGTCTGTGTGTCTCTGTCTGTGTCTTTATCTCTGTGGTATGTGTCTGTGTGTCTCTGTCTGTCTGTCTTTATCTCTGTGGTATGTGTCTGTGTGTCTCTGTCTGTGTCTTGATCTCTGTGGTAAGTGTCTGTGTGTCTCTGTCTGTATGTCTTTATCTCTGTGGTATGTGTCTGTGTGTCTCTGTCTATGTCTTTATCTCTGTGGTATGTGTCTGTGTGTCTCTGTCTGTCTGTCTTTATCTCTGTGGTATGTGTCTGTGTCTCTGTCTGTGTCTTGATCTCTGTGGTAAGTGCCTGTGTGTCTCTGTCTGTCTTTATCTCTGTGGTATGTGTCTGTGTGTCTCTGTCTGTATCTCTGTGGTATGTGTCTGTGTGTCTCTGTCTATCTGTCTTGATCTCTGTGGTATGTGTCTGTGTGTCTCCGTCTGTCTGTCTTTATCTCTGTGGTATGTGTGTGTGTCTCTGTCTGTCTGTCTTTATCTCTGTGGTATGTCTCTGTGTGTCTCTGTCTGTGTCTTGATCTCTGTGGTATGTCTCTGTGTGTCTCTGTGTCTTTATCTCTGTGGTGTCTGTGTGTCCCTGTCTTTATCTGTCTGTCTATCTGCGTATCGCTCTGTCTCTCTGTGTGTCTCTTGCCGTGTCTATGTATGACCGTCTCGCTGTGTCTCTCTTGGTCTCCGTGTCCCCACGGCCGCTGTCTCCGTGTCTCTCTCTGTCCCTGTCTCCGTGTCTCTCTCTGTCCCTGTCTCCGTGTCTCTCTGTCCCTGTCTCCGTGCCTCTCTCTGTCCCTGTCTCCGTGTCTCTCTCTGTCCCTGTCTCCGTGTCTCTTTCTGTCCCTGTCTCCGTCTCTCTCTCTGTCTCCGCCGTGTGGTGACCCCCCCCCCCACACACACTCAACCCATTCACCCCGCAGCGAGCGACAAGATGCGGCACAAGGGCGGTCACAGGCGACGAGATACGGGCACAGACGCTGGGTGTAGCTGCCAAGGAAGCCATCAACCATCGCCACGCCAATTCCTTTGGCCGTTATCCTCGCTAGCAGCAGCAGACTCAGCGGCAGTGGCTTTTGGGTGGCCATTGAACCAAGAGAGGGCCCACTTTCCAGTCGCTCAACAAAAGTCAGTCGCCTACCCATGACTCTTCTATCGCTACTGCCACGGTTGCTGTGCCTCCTTCAAGGAGCTGTAAACCTTCGTCACCTGAATTCCGGTCATATTCGCTAACAGCAGCAGTGGCTTTTGGATGGCCATTGAACCAAGAGAGGGCCCACTTTCCAGTCGCCCGCCGAAAGTCAGTCGCCTCCCTATCACTCTTCTATCGCTACTGCCACGGTTGCTGTGCCTCCTTCAAGGAGCTGTAAACCATCGTCACGCCAACTCCGATGGTCATTATCCTCGCAGCAACGGCTTTTTGGCTGGCCATCGAACAAAGACGGTCACCGCATCGTGCGGCACTTTCAGATGCTATATACACTACACTATATACTACTATACACTACACACTACACTATATACTACTATACACTACACTATACACTACACTGTACACTACACTATATACTACTATACACTACACTATACACTACACTGTACACTACACTATACACTACACCATACACTACACTATGCACTACACTATATACTACTATACATTACACGACTATACACTATATACTACTATACCCTACACAACTATATATTGCTATACCCAATACTATATATTACATTATACACGACACTATATATTAAATCATACACTATACTATACACTACTATACCCTACACTATACACTGATATACACTCCACAATACACTGCTATACACTAAACACTGGTATACACGACACTACACGACACACTACTGTGATGTACCGCTACTTGAGCATACTGTATTGGCACTTCAAGACAGAGGACATGTCGCAGTGGACACCTCCGACTACGGGGCTATCTGCCCATGGATCGTGATGATGACGAGGGTGGTTTTCATTTTTCCTGGTAGGGGCTGTGTATGGGATTGTCTCTTTGTCCATCACCAAGATCTTTCCGTCCCATGTGTGCTGGCGACCAGTTAGTACGCCTCCTCGCTCTCGAGTATCCGCGGATAATGACGGGCAGGATGGCCGCGGATATTTCGAAATCGCAGATAATCCCCAAACACATTTTTACTGCGGAGGGAGCTGGTAGGAAGGTTGGGTTGCTTGGTCAATGGCCAGAGTCAAAGGCGGCACCACGTGGTGTATTCCGCACAATATGCCCGACTGTGAGGGCCGGCACTAGCCGGCGTGAGCAGGTTAAACGTTGAGTTTTATAAGGGCACCACGGGGTGACCAGCCCCTCTCCACCCAGCCCCACCCTTCCCATTTTATCCGGGTGTCCGGATACACGTGGACAGACATCCACAGACATACACAATTAATCCCCTGCCTCCTGTGAATTAATCCCGGTTGGGCTTCCAGTCCATATAAGGGCACCACGGGGTGACCAGCCCCTCCCCACCCAGCCTCACCCCTCCCACCCCCCACCCTCCCCCCCCCCAGCCCCTCCCTACCCTCCCCTCTCCACCCAGCCCCACCCCTCCGACGTGGACAGACATCCACAGACATACACAATTAAGCCCCTGCCTCCTGTGAATTAATCCTGGTTGGGCTTCCAGTCCACTACGTTTCCTACCAGTGAAATATCCATTTATTCCGCGGATCTTTCCGGAACGAATGCTAACGATCAATCGCGGAGCCAGTATTTTCAGGTAGGGGGGGCAACCCCTCCAGCAATAAAAAATGATAGAGGAGTTGTTAGTAAGGAGTTGTTATTAAGGACTTGTTACCAAGGAGTTGTTAGTAAGTAGTTGTTAGTAAGGAGTTGTTAGTAAGGAGTTGTTAGTGCGTAAGGAGTTGTTAGTGAGTAAAGAGTTGTTAGTAAGTAAGGAGCTGTTAGTAAGGAGTTGTTAGTAAGGAGTTGTTAGTGATCGGCACCGCGCTCGCTGAAGGTGAATGCCTTCAGGGAAGTCGTGTACTGTATACGCAACTGCGCACAATTCTGTGAGTCGCTTATAACTGCTTTGCCGTTACTTATTGCCAATTGTGGACTCCGACTATTGTGCTATCATCTCATAGAGTCCCTAGCACATAATATGCTACACAGTGGCAGTGGGGGTCGCAAAATGCCGATTTATTACTAATAAACTCCAATAATGCAATCAAATTAGGGATTTCGATTGGATCATTGAGGGGGGGGGGGGGGGTGGGGCACATGCCCCCCCCCCCCCGCCACTGGCTCTGCCAGTGCTAACGATCGACCTATCGACGATGCGTGTGCTCAGTGATGACACTTTGCTGGCTCCCGGCCAGCAGAAGACTCGGCCCGCTAGGTGGATGACAGCAGAAGAGCCACGGCCAATCAACATCAATTAAACTCCACCACCCACTGTTGTAAAGATATGGCAACTACTGCACTGTAGAGGCGACCGCGTGTATTCGGATTAACCGGAGCAACGTATTTATTCGGTTTAAGCGCCGTGTGACTTGTAACAAACATTTCCAAGAATAACAACGCATGACCATTGTTCGATTGTTAATTCGGGCTTAAGGGGAAAAATCCACGGGTTATAAGTTGACATCAAAATCTCAGCTGCGCCTTTAATCCGCCAAATCGGATAAGCCACACGCGCGGATAATCGAGAGTCTGTCTACTGTATTCTCCAGCGTGGCATTCAATGTCGCCTCATTGACTTTTTTTCCCAGCGATTCCTGCTCATCCTTGCCGATGTCCTTGCCTCAATGCTTGTTGTACTTAGTAGCCATCCACATCCGATTCGCTTCTTCTTCAGCCTTACTTTTTTTTCTGCGTCTTTTCCCGTGACAGTTCCAAGGCTTTCTCAGTTGTCAATTTTCTTTTTTGCGTTTTAGTACTAAAAGCGGGTATTGTTCGCTTCTACTGCTTGCTCTCCGCTATCTTCTTCGGTGTGCTAATTCCTTGCTGTCTATGCTAAGAGAAATACTAATTTAAAATAAACAAATTAATAAAATGCACCAAAACGAATCATGTGCTATGAAGCTCTTTTTTCACAGATGTCCAGCAGTGCTGATTGTGGACGCCACGGTGGCTGCTGCTGTGTCCTGTACAGCACTTTGAGATCCTTGATTAAACGCCGCTTTAAAAAATGTCATTATTGTTATCATCAACATCGTCGTCAAATCACGACCGTCATTCTCTTTCGTGTTTTTCGGGGGGGGGGGGAACTTTATTTGGCGACAATTAAACGACGGACACGTGCAGCTAAAACAAAAAGTTGTCGATCAAAACGAGGGTGGGGGGAGGAGGAAGGGGGGGTGTAAACAAACTCATTTTAATTTCAACCTTTCTCGTTCCGATGACGTCTGGCATTCGCAGGGTGGTGTGTGGGTGGTGTCCCATTAACTGCTGAAACTCGGAACGCGCGAGCAGCTCAGCGTTAATTGTATCTCGAGGCGTAGCCACTCGCCCCTCCGGATCGCCGGCTTGAGTAAACTGTGTGTGTCGTGAAGCCCTCCCAAATCTCACTCCGATGACGTCTGGCAAGTTTCAGCGTTGTGGGTGGTGTCCCGTTCACCGGCGAATCTGGGAACGCGTGAGCGGCTCATTGTTACATTTATTTATAGGGGCGTAGTAGCAACAGCAGCAGCAGCGTTTTATAAAAACGTCGTCACTCACCGCAGAGAACCGTAGCGACACAACCGCCGCCACTCTACGATAGCCGGCGGCAAAGCTGTGCCACACGCCCCTCCCGCGTGGCCTTGTGGTGGGAGCCTCGGTGCACCCATGAAGTTAATTGATTTTAGTTTTTCTTCCGCTTCATTACCGATGACGTACGTATTTATCTCAAGTAATTAATTAGGCCAATACGTACGTGTGTGTGTGTGTGTTTACGCCATCGGAATGGAATCGGAGAAAAAAGCTCAAATCAAATAACTTTATCGGTGCACCAAGGCTCCCACCGCAAGGCCACGCGGGAGGGGCGTGTGGCACAGCTTTGCCGCCGGCTATCGTAGATTGGCGGCGGTCGTGTCGCTACGGTTCTCTGCGGTGAGTGACAACGTCTTTATAAAAACGCTGCTGCTGCCGCTGTTGCTACTATGCCCCTATAAATAAATGTAACAATGAGCCGCTCGCGCGTTCCCAGATTCGCCGGTGAACGGGACACCACCCACAACGCTGAAACTTGCCAGACGTCATCGGAGCGGGATTTGGGAGGGCTTTACGACACACAGTTTACTCAAGCCGGCGATCCGTTACCGCCCTGAAGAAAAATTCAATCGCGAATTGACTCGGGGGAAAAAAAAAAGTCGCTTGAAAACCACCCGCCCGTGATATTTCACCTGCAGTCACCGCATATCCATCCATCGTCTTGCCCCGCCCGAGTACAAACCGTGCATTCAAAAAACGGCGTTCCTACTCGCCTATGTGTGTCCGGAAAAAATGTTTCTTCAGAGCATCGATCCGCAAAAACCCTTCCCCACAATCGTGGCACGTGTACTCAACCTCCTCAACCTCGCCGGAGTGCACCCGCGAATGCTTCTTCAGGTGCGACGGGTGCGAGAAGCGCCTGCCGCACTGCCCGCACGCGTACGGCCTCTCGCCCGTGTGCATCGTCGAGTGCTTCTTGAGGTCGGAGCGCTGGCAGAAGCCCTTCCCGCACTCCGTGCAGACGTGCGTCCTCTCGCCCGTGTGCGTCGCCAGGTGCACCTTCAGGTGGGAGCTCTGCGCGAAGCCCTTGCCGCACTCCCCGCACGCGTACGGCCTCTCGCCCGTGTGCGTCCGCGCGTGCGTCTCCAGGTGGAAGCGCTGCGCGAAGCCCTTGCCGCACTCGCCGCACGCGTACGGCCTCTCGCCCGTGTGCGTGCGCGCGTGCGTCTCCAGGTCGGAGCGGCGCGAGAACGCCTTGCCGCACGCGGCGCAGGCGTGCGGCCGCTCGCCCGTGTGCACTATCGAGTGCTTTTTGAGGGCCGAGAGCTCCGAGTAGCGCTTGCCGCAGTCGGCGCACGCGTGCGGCCTCTCGCCCGTGTGCGACCTGGCGTGGCGCTTCAGGCCGTAGCGGTAGGGAAAGCCCTTGCCGCACTCGGCGCACACGTGCTTGGGCCGGTCGGCGTCCGTCGCGTCGGCATCGGCGGCGTCGTAGCGGACGCGCCGAGGCCTGTCGCGTTGCCGTCTGCGCGAGCTCCCGGCCGTTGGTTGCGGGCGGCTCTCCGGCCTCCGGCCGAGACTCGTGCCTGTGCCCGGAGACTTCCCACACCGCGTGCAGGCCGGAGGGATTTGACTGCTGCCGCCGCCCTCGTTGCCGGCGCCGCCTACGCCGCGATTCGCGTCGCCCGCGCGCGTCTGCAAGCGCTTGCCGAAACCCCTGCCGCATTCGTCGCACGGCAGTTGCGTTTCGTCGGCCGCGTCTGTCCGCAGAGATCGCAAAAAACACAAAATATATTACTTTTTGGTTGAAAGGTTAAATTGAACGGTGAGCCGGTTTTGTGGCTATCGACAATCGCTAAATGCACTGTGGGTTATTTCTACTTTTGGGAAGGGCATGGCACCATTGGGTATTCTGCTCCGACACCTTGGTTTATCCTACTGTAGCGGCGTGCATAGTGTGTTCATAGCGTCGCACTGGCGGAAAAGAGGTACTGCAGGTCTGAGTGCCAGTGGGGAGAGGCCATGTGAGGACATGGTACTCCAGGTGAACTCGGTCAGGGCGCGTGACCGGGACGAGGGGTTAACGGGGGCCAGGGGGCATGTGACGGGCCGCGTGACCAGAGCCCCGACTCGACCACGCCAGGGCCGATAAAAGGTGAGTCATGCGTATGCTCCGTTGCTCGTCTCGGGGAATGGATTCAGTGGGCTACGTCTACGATCTCCGGGCTTCAGCGTGGACCTGACAGCGCGTGGCTGTCTGGATCCGAGCGGGCAGACGTCCCGTCGAGTGGCTGCGAAATAGCCGTGGTGGTTCCCGCCGAATATAGTTATCCAGTCGGTGGTTACGAAGTTACCCGTGGTGGTTACCGCCCTATATAGTCTCGCTATTGAGTGCTTATGTGTTATCCCGTGGTGGTCAACACCCTAAGTAGTTATCCAGTGGAAGTTGTGTTGTTCAAGAAATAAACGTGTTGCCTCCAAGTCTTGGCATGTGTCTGAATAGAACTCACACTACCATTGCTATGCAGATGACACTCAAATTTATATCCGGTTAGGACCGTACTATGTAGCAGCTTTTTATTCGCTGTCTGCATCACTAACAGTAGCAAATTCATGGTTTCGCCAAAACTTTTTGCGACTCAATGCCGACAAGGCCGAAGCCATAATCATCGGCTCCCCTCAGCATCTTTCTAAAATTGGTTCACCTCGTTTGCTGATTGATGGTCACGATGTCTGTCCCACACGGGAGGTCAGAAATCTTGGTGTTCAGTTTGACCAGTAATTATCCTTTGAGGGACATATCTAAGGCGGTTAAAATTTCCCTTTTCCACCTAAGAAATATTACCAGAATGCATCGCTTCCTATCACCTGGTGACTTGGAGAGACTGGTCCATGCTTTTGTGTTATCCTGACTCGATTACTGCAACGCCTCACTGGTTGGGATTCTGAGCAAGGTACTGGGCAGACTCCAGCTTGTTCAGACACCACGTAAAACCATTATGTGAGCACATGACACTCAGGTCGTCTTGTCTCTTCATTCGCTCACACAATCCAGCCTGTTTAAACCCAGGATGGATCGTAGGCAGGCCAGCCTAAATGTTTCTCACCGGTGAAGATGTTCAATTAGGGGGGGGGTCCACATTTCGCAAGCGTAGAGAAGGGAGGGAATGACCGTGGCCGAGAAGACCCGAAGGTTCGTGCGGAGCGACAGACCAGGTAGCTTCCACACAACGTTACACGCAACCGATGAAAAGATAACGCCGCTCGGCTTATTCGGAGTGAGACCTCTGCTGTCAAACCGGAGCCGGTCTATACGCTATACCACTATACGAACACGCACTACACACGACACACGCGTGTTGCGTTTCTGCCTGCGCAACGCGATCACAGGGGGACTCACCTTGACCCGTGTCCTCATCCAGCAACTGCACCTCAACGAACTTCTTGACGTCTTCCGCCCACACCTCCACCCTGAACGGCTTCCGCTCCGATGTTGCCGCCTGTCCGCGGTAGCTCCCCGACTCCCACAGCCTCTCGGTCGCCCCTTCTTCTTCGGCATCGCCGAAACGACTCCCATCACCGGCTGTGGATTTTGACAAGCGCGCCATGGCCAACGCGGCGACTTGCGTCGCAGGCCGATTCGGCCGCGGTTGGCTACGTACGGCGCGGAAGAAGTTCAACATACGTACTGCCCATAGACTCAACACTGCCTATAGACTCAACACTGCACCATAGACTCAACACTGCCCCTAGACTAACACTGCCCATAGACTTGTAGTGTTTATAATGACGAACACACTTCTTATGAGGCACACTCTTGTTTATTGTAATTCTTCTCTTACACAGTCCTTAACACACAGAGGGGTATACGGTCCCCTCACCCGATACCCTAAGAAGGTACAGCCTCCGGACTTAGCGGGACCTACACACAGGTCTCTTGCTAACCTAAGGAGGTACAGCCTCCTGTCTTGGCGGGACTTACACATCTACCGCTATCCTAGAGTCCTCCGGCTGGGACCTAGGGGAGGCTATCTGACCCACCGCTGGCCCGATGGGTCCTGACCACTGGATACGCCGAGCCTTAGCCCTCAGAAGGGCTGGAAGGCTGGGTCCAGGGTCCTGGCTATCTTCAGCCCGGGCTTCGGTCTTTGTGTAGGGAGAGAACTCCCCGCGCTCTGCGCACTCACCCTTCTTATACCCGTTTGTGGCCAGGTCTAACCAATCCCACATTCCCACGTGGAACTGTCTGATTGGTTCTTACCAAACTGTGGCCCACGATCCACTTCACCTCGTCTGACCCCAACCGTTTCACACAGAGGTAACGCTGCACTGCCCCTTTGATACCTAGTGGCAATGCAGGATGCCGAACAGTGAGTAGTTAACACCTCTACAGACTCAACACTGCACTATAGACTCAACACTGCCCATAGACTAACACTGCCTAGAGACGCAACACTGCACCATAGACTCAACACTGACCCTAGACTCAACACTGACCCTAGACTCAACACTGCCCATAGACTCAACACTGACCCTAGACTCAACACTGCCCATAGACTCAACACTGCCCAAAGACTCAACAGTGCCCCAGACACAACAGTTTTATGTTTTTTTTCGCTTTTTCATTCCCGTTTCCTGCTCCCCTACTTTTCCGTATATTAAATAGCACTCTCTCCAGTATATAAACATCGTTATCCACAACAGACGTCCCCCCCATTAAAGCTCTTCACGAGCCCGCACGGTTATAATGGGTTTTATGTTTTTAGTGCACCTCCGATTAGCACGGTTGGCTACGTACGGCGGGAAAGAAGTTCAGCATACATACTACTACACTATAGTCTAGTGTATAGCAGTGCAGTGTATCGTAGTGTATAGTGGACTGTATAGTAGTGTATAGTAGCATATAATGTAGTGTACAGTGTATTGTATAGTGTAGTGTATAGTAGTGTATAGCATCCTGTATAGTAGTGTATAGTGTAGTGTATAGTGTAGTGTATAGTGTCCTTTATAGTGTAGTGTATAGTAGTGTATAGTGTAGTGTATGGTGTCCTTTATAGTGTAGTGTAAAGTGTAGTGTATAGTGTAGTAGCGTATAGTATAGTAGCGTATAGTGTAGTGTATAGTAGTGTTCAGTATAGTGTAGTGTATAGTGTCGTGTATCGTAGTGTATAGTGTAGTGTATAGTGTAGTGTTCAGTGAAGTGTATCGATGGCCAGCCAATTGATCTCACCGGCGTCGTCAGCGTCATCACGTCGCATTGTGAAGTCGGGACGGAGCGCGGGACTTCGACTGCCCGCGTCTCCTTCTTCTTCGTGTTTGCCGATCGGAAACTTCGCGCGCGAGGACATCTGCGGGAATCAGAGACGGGTTGGAGGGGGGGGCGTTTAAAACGTCGAACGCAGTCGTGGTGAACGATCGCCCTCGAGAGGGCGAATGTGAAGCCGCAACTTGTAACAACGGTGTGAATGTTTAATTCACCCCTCGTGACAGCAGTGAACACGGTGTGAGATACACAGAGAGAGTGAATGACGGTGTGAATTCACCACTCGTGACAACAGTGAACACAGTACCAGAGAGAGACACAGAGAGAATGAATGGCGGTGTGTGAATTCACCCCTCGTGACAGCAGTGAACACGGTGCGAGACACACACAGAGAGTGAATGATGGTGTGAGTGTGAATTCACCACTCGTGACAGCAGTGAACACGGTGGGAGAGAGACAGAGTGAATGGCGGTGTGAGTGTGAATTCACCACTCGTGACAACAGTGAACACGGTGCGAGAGAGAAACACAGAGTGAATGATGGTGTGAGTGTGAATTCACCCCTCGTGACAACAGTGAACACGGTACCAGAGAGAGACACAGAGAGAGAGTGAATGGCGGTGTGAGTGTGAATTCACCACTCGTGACAACAGTGAACACGGTGCGAGAGACAGAGAGAGAGTGAATGGCGGTGTGAGTGTGAATTTACCACTCGTGACAGCAGTGAACACGGTATGAGAGAGACACAGAGAGAGAGTGAATGGCGGTGTGAGTGTGAATTCACCACTCGTGACAGCAGTGAACACGGTGCGAGAGAGACACAGAGAGAGTGAATGACGTTGTGAGTGTGAATTCACCACTCGTGACAACAGTGAACACGGTGCGAGACACAGAGTGAATGGCGGTGTGAGTGTGAATTCACCACTCGTGACAGCAGTGAACACGGTGTGAGAGACAGAGAGTGAATGGCGGTGTGAGTGTGAATTCACCCCTCGTGACAGTAGTGAACACGGTGTGAGAGAGAGACACAGAGAGAGTGAATGGCGGTGTGAGTGTGAATTCACCCCTCGTGGCAGCAGTGAACACGGTGGGAGAGAGACACAGAGAGAGTAAATGACGGTGTGAGTGTGAATTCACCCCTCGTGACAACAGTGAACACGGTGTGAGAGAGACACAGACAGAGTGAATGGCGGTGTGAATTCACCCCTCGTGACAACAGTGAACACGGTACGAGAGAGACAGAGAGAGTGAATGACGGTGTGAGTGTGAATTCACCCCTCGTGACAACAGTGAACACGGTGTGAGACACAGAGAGAGTGAATGGCTGTGTGAGTGTGAATTCACCTCTCGTCTTGAGTGAATTTTACCACCAACCTGCGGGTCGCTCCAAGGCAGCAGAGCGACGAGATGTGGGACAAGACGACGAGACGCGGCACAAGACGACGAGATGCGGCACAAGACTGCCAGACACGGCACAAGACGACAAGATGCGGGACAAGACGGCGAGATGCGGCGCAAGACGGCTGGACAAGACGGCCAGACACGGCACAAGACGGCGAGATGCGGGACAAGACGACGAGATGCGGGACAAGACGGCGAGATGCGGGACAAGACGGCGAGATGCGGGACAAGACGGCGAGAAGCGGCGCAAGACGATGAGATGCGGCACAAGACGAACGCAGAGACGACGCGGTGGTTTGCCGGCTCTCCACAGCCACTCGACGTCGGAGGCGCATTTCAGTTTTGCCATCAGGTTTAGCTCCAGTGGGGAGGCGGGGGGGGGGAGGTTCCAGCCCACCAGTAAGTTAATAACCTCGGTGGAGACGGTTTCGTTTGTATTTGTTAAATGGAATGTAAGAAGTACGCGTTAATGAGATTCATTTGTTCCACGACGATGGGAAGTTGACCCTTTTCCACCCAAAAAACACGGTTTATAATATCTAAACACGCATGTTGGTTTTGTTATAAAAACGAACGTTATGCGAACATATTAAAGCACGAATGTGAACGGAAACACGGAGAAATGGTGGATACATTGGAGCATTAAAGGGTGCATACATGGAGCATGAAATCTCAATTCTTACCTTAGGCTAAGTAGATAGAAAATGATAGATGGGGGTTGACGGAGGCGTTGGGGTGAAACCATTTAAGGCAATCTTGATTTGAAGCTTTTGTTACTGAAGGAATCCATACTCTTTGGTTCTTTCGGTAAATCACGTAGGTAGAAAAATAATAATTGATCACGACGTTTCGATCGCAACACAAGCAATCGTCATCAGGTGGGACAACCACAGCAGGAAGACAACTACTGAAGTAGGCGATTAAGGCAATTGCTTAACTAATTGTCTTCCTCACTTTATTTTCGTCACTTTAGGGGCCATCGTTGCCGATCTCATTTTAATGTTTTAAGTCAAAGAAATAAACCCACAAAGTATTCGTGCGAGCTGCTTCCACAAGCACACGCATCACCGTCAGCCATCGAAGAGCTAAGCTCGCCATTGGCTCATGGAAAAGGGGCGCGCCGCTCATTGGCCAAGGCAACGGCGAGTCCACTTCCGAGCGCTCCGATTGGCCGAAATTTTTGCGGGTCCGCGTGAGGTCGTAAAAACCTGGGCCGTTAATCGAAAATTCATCATTAATGGAACAACAGGGGGGAAAGGGGGGGGGTAACCCTATGGGAGGGCAAATCGTTAATCGAAATATCGTCAATCGATGGCATCGTTAAACCGAGGGAACCGCTGTACCCAAAAGGACCTCGAGAAAAATCGACGAGAGCACTGGGATATAACCCACGACCTCCTGCAGACCAGGCGAGGTAGTCAACAATCTCCCAGACACCGCGGGTACCCTCACACCATACCCTGGCCGCTTTGATATCCCAAATGCCGATGTTTAGACACTGCCAGTACCTCGTTCAAGGCCGAGTCAAAATCAGCCAACAAGACCAAGATCCCCCCGTGTAGCTTTAACAGACTGTTGGGGCAAGCATTGTTAACGAGTAGCAGAACCTATGAAGGCCGACAGCACACGAGGGGGTGGGTGGCCAACACCACGCTCAGCCGCCTTTGTCTCCCCAGCGGCGATGTTTACACACCGCGACAGGTACTCATTTGAGGCTGAGTCGACCTAGGTGAGGTCCCAGGACCGGTTCAAATAATCGTCACCGGTGTTGGCCACGAGTGGTAATCGAACTCGGGTCGCTGGGTTCGTAGCGCAGCGCAGCGCTAACCCGCTACACTACCGCTCCCCACGCGCTTGTTATCCATCGCCTCTCAACTATCATTACCACCACCATACGTACTTGCTACTACCACTACCCTGTGAGTCGCTTTGATGGACGTCGTTTCGATTTTCGTCGCCGCACCTTTCAGCAACGCATCGCCGCGCCTCCCAGACGTAAACTGGGGTGGTGTCGCTGTGCTTCATGAGGAGAAATCGAAGACGTTTTAAGTGTTTATTTTTATTGTTATATACACGATGTGATTGTGTGTACAATCACACGTCGGGAAAATGTGATAACCATTCACCGTTGCTTTTGTATCCAGACGGATTAATTCACTTGAGAGGTTTACACTTCCGAGTGCGTGTTATTGATTTACCCTTTCAAATCAAATGATCGTGTAAAGGCCCTTCCCACACAAACTAAACTAAAACTATTTTGTTTTATTTTACCAGGTAAGGACCCACTGAGCTATGTGGCTCTCTTTCAGAAGCGACCCTGGCCATCACAAACGATAGCAGCTCAACGAAGCGGCTGATATCGTGATCACGTGGAAATGCATTGCAACAAAACACGGAGGGGAAAAACCGGAGGACCCGGCGAAAATTCCACACGACCACGGGGAGAGAGCGAGAACACGCAAACTCCGAACATACAGCAGCAGGCATTGTCATGATCGGGATCGAACCCGCGTACCTCCTGCGTACCAGGCGAGGTAGTTCACATCTCCTAGCCGCCGTGGCACCCCCTTGCTGGCACGCGCCTGTGGCTACTCGCCAATCTACGTACGCAGAACTTCTTCCGCGCGCAACTCCAAACCCCAACAAACAAAAAAGATCCGCCATCATGAGTGCGCCGCCGAATGTTTCTTCAGGCTGTACGACCGCGTGAATGCCTTGCCGCACTCCCCGCACACGTGCCGCTTCTCGCCCGTGTGCAGCGCAGTGTGCGCCTCCAGGTGGGCGAGGCGCGCGAACCCCCTCCCGCACTCGCCGCAGACGTGCGGCTTCAGGCCCGCGTGCAGCGCCGAGTGCGCCTCCAGGTGCGAGCGCCGGACGAAGCGCCGGCCGCACTCGCCGCACGCGTGCAGATTCTCGCCCGTGTGCGTCCTCGAGTGCGCCCCGAGGTCCGAGGAGCGCGCGAACGCCCTCCCGCACTCGGCGCACGCGTGCGGCCTCTCGCCCGTGTGCGTCCGCGCGTGCTTGCCCAGGTCGGAGCGCTGCGCGAACGCCCTCCCGCACTCGGCGCACGCGTGCGGCCTCTCGCCCGTGTGCGTCCGCGCGTGCTTCTTCAGCTCCGAGCGCTGCGCGAAGCCCTTGCCGCACCCGGCGCACGCGTGCGGCCACGCGCCCGCGTGCGCCGCCGAGTGGGTGTCCAAAGCGTAGCGCGTCCCGAACACCATTCCGCACTCCTGGCACCTGTGCTTCCTCCGATGGGCCGCGGCGGTCGCGGCGACCTCGAGCGCCTTTCCGCAACGCGCGCAGGATCGTGGGGTCTCGCCGTCGCCGCCGCGTTGCGCTTTGCCCGCCGTCGTTCCGCGGCCTCCGCCCTTGCCGCACCCCGCGCACGGCAGTTCCTTCAACGCCGTCGCCTCGTCCGCTGTGGCATTTCGACAAAAGGCAAGGGCATCGGGCCGACGGTCAACAGGCACGGGTGGCGTTTTCGGCTGGCCCGTCGGGCAAAGGGCGGCGGTCGCCGCACGGCGCAGCGCTTTCGGACGCGCTTCTGCGGCCGTCCGGAAGCAGCCACTGGGGAGCTATGCCACTTTTAAATCATCATCTGAATTGAAAACTGCTCGTTGTTGTTTTCGTTTGTTGTCCTTCCCCCGCACCTCCGATTAGCACGGTTGGATATACGTACGTTGCGAAAGAAGTTCAACACATGGTACAAGCCACTTTGTTGAGCAATCATTTGTGATAGCCAGGTGGCTTCTGAAAAAGAGCTACATAGCTCAGTGGTAAAATAAAATGCAACCTCACAACATTTACAATTGAGTATGACGTTTGTATGTATGTACGTCGAACTTCTGTCGCACCGTACGTAGCCAACCGTGCCAAGCAGTTCTAAAGAAATTCGTTTTCAATTCAGATGATGATTTAAATGTGGCATAGCTAAAAAAACAGGAAGCATAGTTGGAAAAAAAAATTACGTCCCATGATGTGATCAAAGGAGACTCACCGTCACCAACGTCCTCCTCTGATAGGGCAACCTCGATGAAGTTCTGGTCTGGAGTGAGCGGACATCCACGGCGGCTGCCTGCCTCCCCAGGCCTCCCACCGGCTCCTTCCACTTCAACAGTCTTCACATCTGGAGCTGGGATTTAATTTAAAAAAACGCACCCACCGTTACCATTGAAAACACGACCTGTGAAGATCGATTGGAGAATGAGGCAGGCCAAACTAGCCGGCTAGAGACGTCTCTCCTTCAACTCTTAAGACATTCTTGATATCTTGCCTTAGTTTAGGTGATTTCATTCCAGATTTTGCTCTGGCTGTTTACTTAAAGGGCACCGTGGTGGCAAGGAGATATTATCTTCATCGCCTGGTGTGCAGGGGGTCGGGGATTCGATCCCGAACCTGACGCCTGCTGCTGTATATTTGGAGTTTGCGTGTCTCGCTCTCTCTCTCATCATCATCATCATCACCACGGTGGCTAGGAGATGTTGACTACCTCGCCTGGTGTGCAAGGGGTCGGGGATTCGATCCCGAACCTGACGCCTGCTGCTGCTGCTGTGTATTTGGAGTTTGCATGTCTCTCTCTCTCTCATCATCATCATCACCACGGTGGCTAGGAGATGTTGACTACCTCGCATGGTGTGCAGGGGGTCGGGGATTCGATCCCGAAGCTGACGCCTGCTGCTGCTGTAGATTTGGAGTTTGCGTGTCTCTCTCCCCATGGTCGCGTGCATTTTGTCTCCGGGTTCCTCCGGGTTTCCCCCCCCACATTTAGAAACATGCATTGAGATTCTACATCATTAGACCTCCTTTGCCAGTACCAAATATAATAATAGGGCTTTTTGCCTTTTTTTCTGGCAACAAAACTGAAGCCTTTTGGCGTCATCTGGTCGAGCACCAATTGGGTCGAGGCTCAAGAGAAAGCCGTCCCTTGGTGTGGACCAATCAGTTTCAAGGACAATGCATCATATATTATCATAGTATGTTTTTTGTTTGCATTTTGACTGAATGTATTGTGGTTAATGCAGACATGAATCCTTGTAAAAAGGTTTAAGTTTTGTTGCCAGAAAAAAGGGGAAAAAACCCTATTATTACATTTTGGTCCTGGCAAAGGAGGTCTATTGATGTAGATGCTTACCCCGAGCCCTCATTACTTTGATAGTGGCATTGTCTTTGAGCTGAACGCCTTTTGGCATCCTCTGGTCGAGCACCAATTGGGTCGAGGCTCAAAAGAAAGCCGTCCCTTGATGTGGACCAATCAGTTTCAAGGACAATGCATCATATATTATCATAGTATGTTTTTTGTTTGCATTTTGACTGCATGTATTGTGGTTAATGCAGTAACATGAATCCTTGTAAAAAGGTTTGTTTTGTTGCCAGAAAAAAGGGTTAAAAAAACCCTATTATTATGCATTGAGATTATTTTGCCACGATAAATTATTGAGCTACCATTTGTCCTGGCCAAGTCACTTCTGAAAAATAAGTTAATAGCTCAGTGGGCTTTACCTGGTAAGATAAAAAAGAGAGTTTAGTTTTATTTGTATATTGAAGTGATTCGTGTACCTTACCTACACTTTGCACTCCTATCGTGTTTGTGTGTTGTGTTTGTTGTTGTAACGTTCTGACCCCGTGTCCCGACGGGACATCTGTGAAAAAGAGCTTCATAGCTCATCGGAATTTCCTCCTGCAGTATAAATACAGAATCTGATTTGTAGATGGGGATTTACCATCTCCATTGACCTCGGATTTCACCAGAATCCTCATTATCTCAGTGCCCAGACTCCCTTCATCATCTTCTTGCTTCACGACTGCTCCTGTACACAACAACAACAGCAACAACAAAAGACAAAGATCCCCCGTGAAGCTTTAAAAGACTGCTGGGGCAAGTGATGGCGTGTAGCGTAGCGGTATCGACAAGGCTCGATTATTGCAACTCACTACTCTACGGGACGTCTGGCAAAAAACATTAGCAAGCTGCAGCGTATACAAACTTCTCTGGCACGCGTCGTGACGGGTACTGCAAGATCCGACCGTGTCCGTCCGGTGCCCGCTGAGCTGCATTGGCTTCCGGTTGCCGAACGAATACATTACAAGGTCGCACTCATTGCACACAAAGTGCTTGGTACAACAAATGAACCACAATACCTTGCTGATCTCATCAAGGGGCATAAACCATCATCAGGCGAACGCTGGTCATCCTCACATCGAACAAAAACAGTCACCGCATCGCGCGTTTTCAGATGCACTTCTGCGGCCGTCTGGAATTCTCCTTCCGATATCAGGAAGCCACTGGAACCATGCACGCACTTTTAAATCTCAATTTAAAACTAATTTCTTTAGAACTGCTTGTTGTGTTTAGTTTGTTGTCCTTCCCCCGTGCCTCCGATTGGCACGATTGTCTACGTACGGTGCAAAAAAAGTTCAACATGCATACACTCTATACTACAATATACACTACACTATACACTACGATACACTACACCACTATACACTACACCACTAAACTAAATTGAACACTCAATTCTTTCGAACTGCTTTTTGTGTTTAGTTTGTTGTCTTTCCCCCGTGCCTCCGATTGGCATGGTTGGCTACGTACGGTGCGAAATAAGTTCAACGTACGTGCCTACATACACATCATGTGCACACGCGATTGCTGCTCGAGCGACAATTCAAACGCGACGAATCAGGAGAAATTATTTCATTGACCTCACCGGCATGCGTGTCTTCACATCGCCCCGTCAAGTAAGAACGCGCACCAGGATTCTCTTCGTTTTCTTGTTTGACGATTGGTAATGGAACAAGGTGTGAAGCCATCTGAGCGGAAAAAAATTCACACTACGACACATTATCCAATGTGCAAAAAAAAGACAAAGATCTCCCGTGTAGCCTTGAACAGACTTGGGGCAAGCACTGTTCGCATGTATCAGCACATATGAAGGCTGGCACTTTGGCACACGAGGGGGTGGGTGGCCAGCACCACGCCCGACCGCCTTTGTTTCCCCAATAGGTGATGTTTACACACCGCACCAGCTACGAATTTGAGGCCGAGTCGACACAAGGGGAGGCCCAGGACCGGTTCAGACAGTATTCGTCACTGCTGTTGGCCGTGAGCGGGAATCGAACTCGGGTAGCCGGGTTCACAGGGGAGCGCGCTAATCGCTACACCACCATTCCCCATATGCACGTTGAATGTGCATACACACACACACAGACAAAATATTGGAAATCATATGGATATTGGCAAGAGTTAATCAAGGCAAGTCAAGCGAGAGGATGGTATGGCTGGAACCTACATTTAAAAAAGGTTTCCTTGACCAGGTAAGGCCCCACTGGGCTACTTTGCAAACCTGGCTATCACAAATGCTCGCTCAACGATATGGATTCATCATCAGCATCGTCGTCGTGTGGGCATTGATAGCATCGGCCAAACAACTTGAACCGCGTGAAGTTGATTCTAAACGTGGAGGGGGGGGGGGAACCGAAGGACCCGGAGAAAAATCCACGCGATCACCGGAAGAGAGACACACAAACTGCAAATATACAGCAGCAGCAGGCATCGTCAAGGTCTGCATCGAACCCACAACCTCCTGCACACCAGGCGAGGTAGTTAACATCTCCAGAGGGTAAGAGACACCGCAAACTCCAAATATACAACAGGCACCGTCAAGGTCTGGATCGAACCCACGACCTCCTGCACACCAGGCGAGGTAGTTAACATCTCCAGAGAGAGAGAGACACCGCAAACTCCAAATATACAGCAGCAGCAGGCATCGTCACGGTCTGGATCGAACCCACGACCTCCTGCACACCGGGCGAGGTAGTTAACATCTATCCCACCATGGCGCCCTCTCACCAAACCTTGGCCGCTTTAATTTGCCCATTGCTGGTGCGTAGACACAGTGAGTCATTCATGGCCGAGTCAGAATCAACCAACAGGACAAAGATCCCCCGTGTAGCCTGTAACAGACTGTGGGGGCAAGTGCTGTTAGCGAGTAGCAGCAGCACCTGTGAAGGCTGCCGGCAGCTGCGGCACACGAGGGGGGCGGGGGTGGCCAGCACCACCACGCCCGGCCGCCTTTGTCTCCCCCAGTGGCGACGTCGAGTCCACACGACCGCTGCTACACCCGGGTTAACTCAGCAGCGAGCACGCAGCAGGGCGACGAGATGCGGGGACAAGACAGCGAAATGCATGGAGATGATGATGACGATGTGGTGACGTCATAAAGGAGGGGGGTGGGGTCTGGATGCGGTGTCGCCTTTCACTCCGATTTGGAGCCACAAGCGACAGGAGCCTCAACGCGCGCCAGGCCCAGACGTGTCTCTTGTGGGCGCCTCCGGAGGTGGCACAACTTTGAACCTTGGTGCTTCCACGGTGGCGAGGAGATGTTAACTGCCTCGCCTGGTATGGAAGGAGGGCCTGGGTTCGATCCCGACCCTGACGATGCCTACTGCTGTATATTTGGAGTTTGCGTGTCTCTCATCATCATCCCGGTGGCTATGAGCTGTTAACTACCTCGCCTGGTGTGCAGGAGTTCGTGGGTTAGATCCCGACACTGACGATGCCTGCGGCTGTATATTTGGAGTTTGTGTGTCTCTCATCATCATCACGGTAGCTATGAGATGTTAACTACCTCGCCTGGTGTGCAGGAGGTCGTGGGTTAGATCCCGACACTGACGATGCCTGCTGCTGTATATTTGGAGTTTGCGTGTCTCTCATCATCATCCCGGTGGCTATGAGATATTAACTACCTCGCCTGATTTGCAGGAGTTCGTGGGTTAGATCCCGACACTGACGATGCCTGCTGCTGTATATTTGGAGTTTGTGTGTCTCTCTCATCATCATCATAACGGTAGCTATGAGATGTTAACTACCTCGCCTGGTGTGCAGGAGGTCGTGGGTTAGATCCCGACACTGACGATGCCTGCTGCTGTATATTTGGAGTTTGCGTGTCTCTCTCTCTCATCATCACGGTAGCTATGAGATGTTAACTACCTCGCCTGGTGTGCAGGAGGTCGTGGGTTAGATCCCGACACTGACGATGCCTGCTGCTGTATATTTGGAGTTTGCGTCTCTCATCATCCCGGTGGCTATGAGATGTTAACTACCTCGCCTGCTGTGCAGGAGTTCGAGGGTTAGATCCCGACACTGACGATGCCTGCTGCTGTATATTTGGAGTTTGTGTCTCTCTCTCATCATCATCATCACGGTAGCTGAGATGTTAACTACCTCGCCTGGTGTGCAGGAGGTCGTGGGTTAGATCCCGACACTGACGATGCCTGCTGCTGTATATTTGGAGTTTGCGTGTCTCTCTCTCATCATCATCCCGGTGGCTATGAGATGTTAACTACCTCGCCTGGTGTGCAGAAGTTCGTGGGTTAGATCCCGACACTGACGATGCCTGCTGCTGTATATTTGGAGTTTGCGTGTCTCTCTCTCATCATCATCATCACGGTAGCTATGAGACGTTAACTACCTCGCCTGGTGTGCAGAAGTTTGTAGGTTAGATCCCACAACCCGAAGGGTTGGGCCCTAAACAGGAAGGGGCGGGACCTGCAGAGGAAGGGGCGGGGCTGAAAGAGGAAGGGGCGGGACCTGCAGAGACAGAGGCGGGCCCTGCGGAGGAAAAGGTGTTGGGGGGGGGTGTAAGGAGGAAGGGGGCAGGAGGCGAGGACCTCCAATCAATGAAAGCAGGCCCCCCCAAAAAACTATGACACCTCGACTCTCAAAACGACAGCTTTTTTTTAAACAAAGTCCAATTCCGCATATGTGGAGTTCTTCCTAAACGAATTTCCCACAACTTTGGGAAATGCAATAAATAGAATCAAATAAGTGCACCGGGCAGCACAAACATTGTTACACAGCAGGTCCGGCCAGAGGCCAACTATTTTATGATGCCTGGTCATTTAAGCCTCATATACAGCATCATGGACTTACACATTTTTTATTAAACACTAATTACTAAGTGATGCACTTGATAACGACCAATCAACAGAACAAGCAGAGTTTAGTAAGTAATTCTCAACAACAGGCCACCTTCAAATAATTCAATACAATAGAGGAATTAACTGTGTACAGCAAAGAACTGTATACATTTGATAGATTACCACACAAGGGATGCTATACTACAGAACAAGGACAATTACCATCAGTTCTAAAAGCAATATGGAATTGAAACAAATGACGTACGTATTCCAAGGAACATCTACTACTATATAAAACTGGAATGCTCAGGACCGGATTTGAAGACCCAGAGATGTTAAAACAAAGGCATGCACAGACCCTTTTTGTCAGTCCACTGGTTGATGAGAGCACCCCCACGTTGTCTATCAGACGAGGGGTTTGTTTGACCATATTTCACCAACGATGGCTAGTGCAGGTAAATGGGCAAGGAGCATAGATGCGGGGGACATATAAGTACAGTACACCAATAGATTATGCTGGCCTGCCCTGTGTTACCTTGCAGCCCCAGAGCCTGATGACAGCCTGTCAATGAATGGTGATCACCCATCCAATCGACTAGTTTCAAGTTTATAGTAGTCCCTCGGTTAACAGTGACATCAGTTAACGTTTTTTTCGTTAATATTTCACCTGCCATAGGAACCCCACGGTTTCAACTAACTTTAAAATGTTGACTAACGGTACATTTACGTTATGCACGCGGGCGCCAATTTTCGGCCAATCCGAGCGCTAGTAAGTGGGACTGAGCAATGCCCTCAGCCAATCAGTGATGCCAATTACTGAGCCGTTTAGACCTCGACTAGCTTTGTTTACATTACACATTTTCTGTTTTGGTAATGGAAACAGCTCCTCTTGCAAACTCGGTGATTTGTACTTTTAACGTGTAATTTCTATATTTGATAAACAGTTATCGGTTAACAGTAGTTTTCATGGAACGGATTAAAAACGTTTTAACCGAGGGACCACTCTATTTTGCTTAACCGGGTGAGAACGCAAGATACCAGGATACGTTTCAATTGCGAAAGCGACTCGAGGCATTGGTCTGCCAGTCAGGGTCAATGATTGCTACGTATGGTCTCAACTGACGAAAATCTGTTGGTAAAATTCAAATGGCCCTGATGCAATGAGGAGCGATGTTCGGCAGCACAGGAAGCCACGGGAGTTAAGCGAACCTCAGGGTGCCATTGATGATACGAAGAGCAGTGTTAATTTTGACATCGAGGTTCGTGCGAGGGCTGGCACTCTAAAATTGCAACATTGCGTGAACCCATATTCCCACACTGCTCTTTCAGATGACCAGCTTCTCAGCAGAGTGCATTCTAGAATGCTTATTTAAATAAGCACGCGTTGTAAACCCCTTCCCACACCCCTTGCATAAGTGTGGTCTCTCGCCGGTATGCGTTATAGAATGTTTCTCCAAAGTGGAACGCTGTGCAAAACCCTTCCCACACTCCTCGCATACGTGTGGCTTTTCGCCCGTGTGCGTTCTAGAATGCATCTCTAAATTGTAGCGCTGCGTAAACCTCTTCCCGCACTCCACGCACATGTAAGGCTTCCTACCGGTGTGCGTTACAGAATGTTTCTCTAAAGTGGAGCGCTGCGAGAACCCCTTCCCACACTCCTTGCACAGGTGCGGCTTCTCGCCTGTGTGTGTTCTAGAGTGCATCTCCAAATTGTAGCGCTGCGTAAACCTCTTCCCACACTCCACGCACATGTAAGGCTTCTCGCCCGTGTGCGTTCTAGAATGTGTGTCTAAAGTGGAACGCTGTGAAAACCTCTTCCCACACTCTTTGCACAAGTATGGCTTCTCGCCCGTGTGCGTCCTAGAATGCATATCTAAATTGTAGCGCTGTGCGAACCTTTTTCCGCACTCATCGCACATGTATGGTTTCTCGCCGGTGTGAGTTCTGGAATGTGCCTCTAAAGTGGATGGCTTTGCAAACCTCTCCCCGCACTCTGTGCACATGTGTGGCTTCACGCCGGTGTGTGTTCTAGAATGTTTATTTAAATCGGTGCGTGCTGTAAACCCCTTCCCGCACTCCTTGCACACGTGCGGTTTCTCACCCGTGTGCGTTCTAGAATGAATCTCTAGATTGAAATGCTGCGTAAACCTCTTCCCACACTCCTTGCACGCGTACGGCTTCTCGCCGGTGTGCGTTCTAGAGTGGGTAATTAAAGTGCAACGCTGCGTAAATCCTTTCCCGCACTCCTTGCACACGTGCGGCTTCTCGCCAGTGTGCGTTCTAGAATGTTTCTTTAAAGTGGAACAATGTGAAAATCCCTTGCCGCACACCGTGCACAAATGTGGCTTCTGACCGGTGTGCGTTCTAGAGTGTGTCTCCAAATTGGAACGCTGAGAAAACCCCTTCCCGCACTCCGAGCACACGTGGGGCTTCTCGCCCGTGTGCGTCCTAGAATGTCTCCCCAAGTGGAAACGTTGCGAAAACCCCATCCCGCACTCTGCGCAGACATGCGGCTTCTCGCCCGTGTGCGTCCTGGAATGCTTCGCCAAGACGGAAAGCTTTGAAAACCCCTTTCCGCACTCCTTGCAAACGTGCGGCTTCCTGCCAACAGCATCCGCCGCGTAACTGCCTCCCGGCTGATCCACCATAGCAGAATCCTCGTCGCACGTCGCGACCGTGCACAGCTTTTCTCCGGTTCGTCGTTTTTTCCTCCGGTCGCTCGACGCGCAGGCCTGGAGCGTCTTTGCGCACTGCGCGCAGCCTCGGAGCGCCCGCCTGACGCGTTTTGCTTCGTCCGCCGTCGGCGTTCCTAGCTGCGCGCAAAACTGCTTCCCGCACTCTGTGCAGAGCAGTCCCGTCGGGCGCCCGTCATCTGCCGCACATTTAAAAAAAACTAAATGAACGCAACACTTTAGGGGCTCTAAAGTGCGGCAGCACATACGGGCGGTGTGTGTCACGTTGAGTCCGGTGTTTTAGCATCGGGGTCACTGCAGTGATCTCGCTGAATGTCATTGTGAAGGCTTGATTCTCATCGACAACGGGTCCAAGAGACAAAGCCTCGATTGGGTATCTAATAGGTAAGGGCTACATTAGCTTTGTAGAACGGTGAACCAATATGTGATGCCGCACACAATACACACTACACTATACACTACATACTACACTATACACTACTATATACTACATAGTACACTATACACTACTATATACTACATAGTACACTATACACTACATACTACACTATACACCACACTACTATATACTACATAGTACACTATACACTACTATATACTACATAGTACACTATACACTACATAGTACACTATACACTACATACTACACTATACACTACACTACTATATACTACATAGTACACTATACACTACATATTACACTATACATTATACTATACACTACAATACACACTACACTATACACTACATACTACACTATACACTACACTATACACTACACTACTATATACTACATAGTACACTATACACTACATATTACATTATACATTATACTATACACTACAGTATACACTACGATACAAGACACTAAACCACTATACTAAAACTCCTTTGTTTAGAACTGCTTGTTGTGTGTAGTTTGTTGTCCATCCGCCGCAGCTCCGATGAGCACGGTTGGCTACGTACGGTGCAAAAGAAGTTCAACACACGTACATACGTTCAGCATGATCGGGCTATGTCTGGCGATAAAACCGGAAGCTATTAATTGTTTTATCCGTGATCAAAGTGGGAACCCACCTTGACCAATGTCCTCCTCCAACAATTCCACCTCGATGAAGTTCTTGTCTGCAGTGGCCAGACACCCTCCGTGGCAATTCTCCGTCCCCTCTGACCTCTCACCAACCCCTTCATCTTTAACAATATTCATATCCCGAACTGTAATTCAGAAGGGGAAAAGAAACCCACAATCGTTAATGATAGATGGAAGGTCTAATTAACACATAGTAGTAGTAGGGCTTTTCCTACCAATATTATCCATAAGAGGTTTTTTGGGTTAGATCGTGTAAATATAAATGTGTCGTGAAACCCCCCAGCACCCAACAACAGCCAATTAGTAAGGTTTGTCATGTACACAAAACGTGCCGATAAGTTACTACTTCAACACACCGGGGTAACGACACATTTAACACACACACACATTACAAATCTTATTGGGGAGATGTAATGTAGGTATGTATGTATGTTCAACTTCTTTTGCACTGTACGTATCCAACCGTGCTAATCGGAGGTGCGGGGGAAGGACAGCAAACTAACACACAAAAAACAAGTCAATCAAAGAGAACGGTTCAACACATGTCTCCCACAACTCTTAAAGCATGTTTCTTGCCTAGTTTAGCCATTCAATTTTGAGATTTCAATTGAAAATACAGTAGAACCCCTCTTAACGACCACGCCTGTTCACGACTAATCACTTAACGATGGGGCCTCCATAGAGCCCAGTGTGTCCCCTGTTAACGATGGGCTGTTGTAGGTACAGTAAATATGACTTAATGCATTGATTAACGATGCATCTTTTAATATTATGTGCATATGTTTAGTAACTTTATGTATTAATAGCCATTGTTTAAATATTACAAAGTTTTTTTGGGGGGTGAAAAAAGGGTAACTTTCGATGCTATCGGAACGAATTGAGCTTTTAACGTATTTTTCCTGTACTCGCTTGACGACCAAATCACTTCACGACCGGTTTCGTGGAACCAATTAACGTCGTTAAGGGGTTCTAATATTCTTGGTTCTTTCGGTGAAGTCACGTAGAAGGGAAACGTGACTTTACCGAAAGAACCAGGAATATTAATCCCTGCAGTCACGAAACCTTTCAATCAAAAAGGGGTCCTAATGTTGTATATGTCGCGGTAGATTTAAGCTCACCGGCATCGGCGTCTTCATATTTCACCGTCAAATCCGAACACAGCCCAGCACTCAAATTGTCTTCGTTCTCTTGTTTGATGAATGGTAATTCGACGCGAGACGCCATCTGAGAAGTGAAACAATATGTTTACACATCCAATTAGGTGTGTACGCTTATAAAACAAACACACCGATACAACAATTACCCTACATAGCTTCTTGCTACAAGTGCTGTTCGCGGGGTCTCTCTGACAAAGGGGCGCCGTGGTCGCTGGGAGATGTTAACGACCTCGCCTTATATGCAGGAGGTCGTGGTTTCGATCCCGTTTCTGACAACGCCTGCTGTATATATGGAGTCTGTGTCTCTCTCTCATCATCATCACGGTGGCCAGATGTTAACTACCTCGCCTGATATGCAGGAGGTCGTGGTTTCGATCCCGTTCCTGACAGCGCCTGCTGTATATATGGAGTCTGCGTCTCTCTCTCATCATCATCACGGTGGCTAGATGTTAACTACCTCGCCTGGTATGCAGAAGGTCGTGGGTTGGATCTCGACCCTGGCGACGCCTGTTGTATATTTGGAGTCTGCGTGTCTTTCTCTCTCTCTCCGTGGTCGCGTCTATTTTTCTCCAGGCCCTCCAGTTTTTTCCCTCAATGCCACCACACTGGATACTCTCCATACTTCGGCTGTGCCTTAATATCCTGTCCATGAAAATGGCAAACAGGAGTGGAGACAAGATGCACCCTTGGCAGAGTCCAGATAGCGCACAAAAGTGGCACGGGTACATCATACTCCCGCAGCACCTCTCACAAGACGTTGCGGGGGAACACAGTCATATGCTTTCTCAAAGTTTACAAAGCAGAGGTAGACTGGAGAAGCGTACTCCCATGACCCCTCAAATATCTGTTAGAGGGAAAAGAGCTGTTCCACGACCGTGACGGGATCCGCATTGTTCCTGCTGAATCCGAGGCTCGACCACAGGGCGGAGCCTCCTCTCCAGCGCTCTGGCATCGGCTTTACCTGTGACGCTGAGGAGTGTGATCCCTGTAGTTGGAGCACATCCTCTGGTCCCCTTTTTTAAAAATGGGAACCACGACCCCAGTTTGCCAGTCCAGAGGTACAGTACCTGCCTTCCATGCAACATTGAAGAGGCGTGTTAACCACGACACCCCTACACTGTCCAGATATTTTAACAACTCTGGGCAAATCTCGTCCACCCCAGCAGCTTTGCCGCTACGAAGGCCCTCGACCGCCGCAGCGACTTCAGCAACCGTGATAGATCCGACCCCCCAGCTGTTGCCAGAGCTGCCTCCTGAAAGAAGGGCATGTCCACAGGGTTGAGGAGCTCCTCAAAGTGTTCCTTCCACCTCTCGAGTATCTCCTTGAAAGAGTGCAATGTTACACCACCCCTACTGAAAACAGCCTGGGCCACGTCCCGTTGACCCCTCCTAAGGCGTGAGATGGTTTGCCAGAACATCTTTTGAGGCTGCCCGGTAGTCCCTCTCCATTGCCTCTCCAAACTCCTCCCACGCCTGGGCTTTCGCTTCAGCGACTGCTTTAGCCGACGCCCTCTTGGTAAGCCGGTACCTCTCAATCGAGTAGGGAGACCTTTTTTTCGAGCACAGCTTGGAAAACCTCCTTCTTCAACTTGACAGCTTCTCTCACCACTGGTGACCACCAGCGGGTCCTAGGGTTGCTGCCATGACAAGCACCAACTGCGTCCAGACCACAGTTTTTTCACAGCTGCATCCACAATCGAGGTCCTGAATATCATCCACTTGGACTAAATGTCCACGGACTCCCCTGGAGTACAGGAGAAGTTTTCCCGGAGGTGGAAGTTGAAATCTTTCTGCACTGGGTCTTTTGGCAGACGTTCTCAGAAAACCCGCACTTCATTTTGGCCTTCCACGTCTATCTGGTCGGTGCCCGAAGCATCGGAACCAACTTACCACCAGGTGGTGATCAGTTGACAGCTCTGCCCCTCTCTTCACCAGTGTCCAGAACATACGGCCTTAGGTCCAATGATGCAACTATCAAGCCAATCATTGACCTTCGGCCGAAGGTGCTCTGGTACCAAGTACGCTCTAGAGCATCCTTGTGTTTGAACTTGGTGTTTGTTATTGACATTCCGTGACTAGCGTAGAATTCCAATAACATTTCACTGTTTGGGTTGAGATCGGGGGAGGGGGGGCATTCCTCCCAATCACACCTCTCCAGGTATGTGCAAGGTTTCCCACGTGAGCATTGAATTCGCCCAGTAAGACTATGGATTTGGTAGGCGGCACTTTGTCGAGCACTGCACCCACTGTCTCCAAGAAGGCCGAATACTCTGAACTGCTGTTTGGTGCATAAGCACAGACAACAGTCAGAGTTTTCATTTCCGTCTCATTGAGGCGACCCTCTCATCCGCTGGGACAAACTCCAACTGAACAGCACCCAGCCGGGAGCTAGCGAGTATCCCCACACCCGTCCGGGGCCTCTCACCAGGGGTTATGCCAGATTAGGAGAGAGACCACCACCCCCGATCGAGAAGTTTGGTTGCTGTGCCAATGCTGTGTGTGGAGGTGAGACCGACTAAATCTAGTTGGAACCTTTCCACCTCCTCCACCAGTTCTGGCTCCTTCCCCGCCACCCCCCACCCCCCCCCCCCCCCCCCCCCCCCCCCAGTGATGTGACATTCTACGTCCCAATAGCTAGTGTCCATCGCCAAGGTTCAGTCCGTCTGAGACCATCCGTCTTCCTGCCCTACTGGCATCATACCCGCCCGCACCCTTAGTCCTGCGGATGGTGGGCCCACAGGACTGCGCCACATAGTCATTTCAGGCTGGGTCCGACCGGGTTACGTGGGTTCAACCGGCCACCAGGCGCTTTGCCGGCAAACACCACCCCCAGGCATGTCTCCACGGTGGGAGTCAAGGTATACCTTGTTCGGGCGAGGTTATCTGATTTTTGTATATTTGAACCATTCATGAAGGGGCTTTTTTTCGGACCGTTATTTGTCTGGAACCCCCACCCAGAGCTGTTCGCCAAGGGAGACCCTAACCAGGAGTACAAGACTCCAGGCAATATAGCTCCGAGGATTATTGGAACACACAAACCCCACCACGATAAGGTTACAATGATTATCGTAGGGGGGGGGGGGACAAATGGGAATTGTTTAATAATGCTGACAATGAATAAATAATAAAAATGTCGATAATCAATAAATAACAATAACGACAATCAATGCATAATACATTATGAAGAACAATGTGTTTTTTTATATTACATTTGATGATTTGACGACGATGGGGGTGGTGATGGTGAGAGAGTGAATCGCAGTGTAAACGTGAATCCATCTTTTGTAACAGCGGTGAACGCAGTGCGAGAGAGTCCATTGCAGTGTGAATGTGAATTTGCCTCTTGTAACAACGGTGAATTGCAGTGCAAGAGAGTGAATCGCAGTGTGAATGTGAATTCTCCTCTTGTAACAGCGGTGGACACAGTGCAAGAGTGAATGTGAATTTACCTCGTGTAGCAATTGTGGACACAGTGCGAGAGAGTGAATCGCAGTGTGAATGTGAATTCACATCTTGCAGCAATTGTGGACACAGTGCGAGAGTGAATCGCAGTGTTAATGTGAATTCACATCTTGCAGCAATTGCGGACACAGTGCGAGGCAGTGAATCAGAGTGTGAATGTGAATTAACCTCTTGTGGCAACGGTGGACACAGTGCGAGAGAGTGAATCACAGTGTGAATGTGAATTAACCTCTTGTGGCAACGGTGGAAACATTGCGAGAGAGTGAATCACAGTGTGAATGTGAATTAACCTCTTGTAGCAACGGTGGACACATTGCGAGATTGAATGGCGGTGTGTGTGTGAATTCGCCTCTCGTGATAGCAGTGGACACGGTACACGAGACAGAGTGAATGGCGGTGTGAGTGTGAATTCACCCCTCGTGACATCAGTGAACACGGTGTGAGATACACAGACAGAGTGAATGGCGGTGTGAGTGTGAATTCACCTCTCGTCACAGCAGTGGACACGGTACGAGAGAGAAACACAGAGAGAGTGAATGGCGGTGTGAGTGTGAATTCACCTCGCGTCTTGAGTGAATTTCACCACCAACGTGCGGGTCTCTCCAACGCAGCAACAGCAGCAGCGACCACGCAGCAGAGCGACGAGATGCGGGACAAGGCGAATGTCAATTGCATCGAAGAACAAAACAAGCTGAACACATTCGTCAAAAAAACACCACTTAAAAGGCCTTCAAAGGATTAAAATAAATATGTATATAATCGGCGACGTTTCGGGCAACGGCCCTTCTTTATAGCACATAGCCCAAATAGATAATACGGAGTCGGAGACTGCACATTGCCATCATCACGGGGCCAGATGGGAATTAATCTTGTTTTAAGAAATGTTCTCCGATTACCGTGTGTGTGGGTTTATTTTTTTATAGTTGGCAGGTGAACGGTCACAGAGATAATAAAACTACCGATTCACAGACAAACCCTTTAATAATAAATGTTTTTTTTTTACAAAGCAGTGTGACTTCTACATAAATTCATATTAAAAGCAACATCGTTAAATGTCGCTGTCACATTCCATTGTGCCACATTCCATTGTTCCACAATGCATTGTGCCACCTTGCATTGTGCCGCATACATTGCATTGTCACATTGCACTGTGCCCCAATGGATGCATTGTGCCACATTCCATTGTGCCCCAATGCATGCATTGTGCCACATTCCATTGTGCCCCAATGCATGCATTGTGCCACATTCCATTGTGCCCCAATGCATTGTGCCACATTCCATTGTGCCACCTTGCATTGTGCCGCATTCCATTGTGCCACAATGTATAGTGTCACCTTGCATTGTGACGCCTACATTGCATTTTCACTATTGCACTGTGCCCCAATGCATTGTGCCACATTCCATTGTGCCACCTTCCATTGTGCCACAATGTATAGTGTCACCTTGCATTGTGCCGCATACATTGCATTGTCACATTGCACTGTGCCCCAATGCATGCATTGTGCCACATTCCATTGTGCCCCAATGCATGCATTGTGCCACATTCCATTGTGCCCCAATGCATTGTGCCACATCGCATTGTGCCACATCTTCTACCCCCCCCCCCCCCCCCATTTGTCCTCCGATGTTGATGTCTCTTCCTATGTTCATTGTTGAGTTTTTTTGTTCCATTTTCTCGGAGGGTTATCAACAACAAACCTCGACGCTGAGAAGAGGAGCACCACAGCCACGTGAGCAGTACCGCCGCCGATTTATTGTTTCGAATATCTTTGATGTCTTGCATTGAAACACACGAGCACAATGTATTGACATTCATTTTAAATACGCTTTGTAACTTACGTGGTTTACATGTGGTTTTTTTGACGATTTATTATCGTCTCTTTCATTGGCTACCGGTCAAAATTCTGAGTGTATTTTAAGATAGATACTGCTATTAACCTATAAGGCTTTAAAAGGGCTCACCCCACATTACTTGCAGGAACTAAGGGGCCGTCCATAAATGACGTCAGACATGTGTGACGATGGGGGGAGGGGGGGGGGTTGAGAAATGTGATGTCACATCAAAATGCGCAACTTTAAATAAATATAGACAACACGTTCTACTTAATTAAATAGACTTTTTAATAAATGTTTTCTCCTACAACATCAGAGTGCAGCGGCACATTAAATACGCTGTACAATGACAATAGTTTAAAGCGATTTGAAGCATCTTTTATTTTTTTAGGGGGGGGGGCAGAGCTTTGTGACGTCAAATTTGAGGGGGGGTCTGACTTTTTGTGACGTCGTGTGACGAAGGGGGGGGGGGGCGGGGCGGTCAAAAATCGTCCAAAATCGCGTGACGTCATTTATGGACGACCCCTAATACATTTATACATTCCATCAAGGTCCTTAAGATCTTCTGATCTCCAACTGCTCAGCACTCCCAGGTCTAGGTTGCGTTCTTTTGGTGATTGGGCTTTTGTTCGTGTGGCACCCAAGCTATGGAACGCCTTGCCACTTGAAACCAGGGCAAAGTCGGTCGATATGTTTCAGTTTGGTAAATATATTTAAGTTCGCTTTGAAAACCCATCTCTTTAAAGTGACCTTCCCTCTTAAGTTTGGTCGGTTGCTCCATTCCATGCATTGCGCATTGGGATCCTAGGATATAATGCGCATGATACATTTTGATTATATTGTTTCGTTTTTCCAGCAAGTTGGGACTTTTCAGCGAGCCAGACCAGAGCTCCCTACTCTGTCAATTCCTGAGAAATTAGATCAACAGTTAATTCACGACCCCCTTGAATTAAGAATTTTGGGAATCAGTATGCGAGTGCAGTCTTGTCCGTGTCTCGAGTGAGGAGTAGGTGTCCGTGTTTGTCTCCGTATGTCTCCTTGTCTCCATATCTGTATGTGTGTGTCTCTGCTGCAGCAGAGGTGTAGGGAATTCCAACAGGACCTGCACCTCTCCTTTATTGACCTGATCAAGGTCTATGATACCATCAATACGCCTGGGCTCAGGGATGTTCTTCCTGCTTTCAGTCCCCGATCCTCTGCTCACAAATCATTAAGGACCTTCATGATGGTGGGCATTGCACATTGGGGCCGTGGCCGGGAGTCAGAGCCATTCCCTGTTCACCTTGGGGTGTGACAGGAGATGTCCTCTGGCTCCCACATTATTTAACATTTTTTTCGACCACCTAGTTGGAGAAGCCTTCCATGGCTGTACCGGAGGAATCTCCTTCTGGTGCAGATACAGTGGGAGTCTGATCAATGCCCGGGTGCGGTTGAGGGATGGCTCCCAATTTGTCAACCATGTTATGTGTGCTCATGATCTGGTGATTGATGCTCACTCAAAGGAGGAGTTGGAGGCACTGCTTTTGAGCCTGGAGCGTGCCACTAAGAGGTGGGGCCTTACCATTAGCCCCACCAAAACTAAGCATCTGCCTGGTTATCTTGTGTCATCAAACACTCCGCCCCCTCAACTCTCCATTGGCGAGGCAGTTGTTGAGTGTTAGGGTTTTCGTACATGGGCAGTGTGCTCATGACCAGCTCCGGTTTGACAGCAGATGTCTCACTCCAAATCAGTCGAGCGGCATTATCTTTCCATCGGCTGCTTACAAGAGGATATGGAGCTGAGTGGACTTGTCAATGGCTGGTACCAGCGGTGTTAAGATTGGCCTCTGGAGGAGGCTCATTGAGGACGCTACTGGGTAGTTGGATGCAGTCGCCCTCCAGCAATAACGGAGGGTAGAGGAGCGACGCTCACAACAATGAGCGGAGCACCGGGCAGCTAAAACACAGCAAGTTTGCACAGTAGGGGGCACAGTCATCTCAGTCAGTCAACCCATGGTACCTGGGTCTATCCCATGACATCCTGCCAGCGAGCCTTCGACACTTCACGTGGCCTTAAAGTGCACATAGGCTGGCACACGTGCCGTGCTGATGTTACCGCTACTTAGTGGCGAATGGTGGTTGCTATTGTTGTTGTGTCTCCGTTTGTATGTCTCCATGTCTAGTAAGTATATTTATGCCTGTGTCTGTTCCTGATTATCTGTGTCTCAACATCTCTCTGTGACTCCGCGTCCGTTTGCCCAACTGCACCATCACTTGGTAAGGTGGCACCTTAACACAAAGGTAGGCTTCTCTGAAATCTATCTTTTTTTTGCGACCGTGACTTCCACAATGCTTAAGATTACCCTGTTTCTTGGGAAGGGGCTATACTTCAAGTCGTCAACCCACTACTGCTTAATTTTTCAAATACAGTCCGACTGGACATGGGTCCCAGAAACCTATCAGGCTTCTCAGGTGGGTAGATAGTGAGTTGGACGAGAACAGGAACCTGTTGTATAGGCCTTTTTCCAAAAAATATATATTAAGAATGATTCTGCCTTTTTTTTGTAATAATCGATTGAGGTGAGCATGGGGCATGAAAGGGTGGAGGCACACCCCCACCCCTCACACTCCAGCTGCCTTGCCACATAAAAGCGACTGGAGGGAGGTCATGAAAATCCATTAAATAATAAAACCCCGGGGCAAAGGGAGGTTTAATGACAATCTGGGAAATCTCCACGGGGCGGGGGACCATGGGACACGACCTCCACGGACGTTTTGGACACATTTCACAAACAATCCTCCAGACCCACTGGCATCTAGAAAAACAGCCTGGTCTCACATCGAAACTTGCTGACACAGCCTTTACACCACCTCCAGTCGGCTCTCCACGGACGGCGAAAGCCGCAGGGCAAAGGGATATTACAACCGGCAGTTTATTTAACAACGGCAAAAGTTCGAAATTTAGTGACAAGAATAAATCGACATTATAGACTGCCAGTACACTCCCAGATTAAGAACCAGACTGCAGTCTACATTAGTGGCTTTTATTATTACTTACATTACCCTTATTCACCTTATATATTTTCATTCTTATTGTATCTTTCTATCTACATGACTTTACCGAAAGAACCAAATAATATGAATTCCGGCAGTCACGAAAACTTAAGACAAAACTTGGCTATATCGTCAAATGCAGGATATCAAAATATAACTAGAATAAGATGCACGGATCCCTGGTGACACAGACGGTGAACAAAGTTTAATAAAACCCTCGGAATACCTGAGGAAACAACTATCGTACATCACAAATTTTGGTTAAACAAACCATATAATAATGAAGTATTAGACCTAGCGTAATTCAAAATAGATACAAGGCGAAATAGGTCAAACACACACGACCAAGATAATATGTATTCCATTGGGCCAGGGCCTCCAAACCGCCTTTGTCTTCCAATAATTTGACACAACACATGGTAGCAATAAATTAGGTATGAAGGGAGGGCCTCCCCTTGAGATAGCAAACACAACGAAGGCAGGGGGGGGGGGGACGCAAACCAAAACATAAACATGGTGATGGAATTTCGATTTAAAGCTTTCGTGACTGCAATGATTCATCTTCTTTGGTTCTTTCGGTAAAGTCACGTAGAATGAGAATAAAATAATAAAATAAAACAATAAAATTCTCGACAGAGCTTCAATACATTTATTGAAGCTCTGTCGTCCCAACAGGTCTGTCCCTTTCACCTGAAGGTCACTTGTGTTGTGGCCGAAACGTCGTGAGAATTTTATTGTTTTATTTTATTCTCATTCTACGTGACTTTACCGAAAGAACCAAAGAAGATGGTGATGGAAAGCAGCCAGTCAAAGGTCAAAAAGGGGGGGGGGGGCAACCAGGCGGCTGCAGAAACGGGAGGAGAACAAGACAGAGGGATTCTGTTTTTCACAAGAGAAACGCAGAGGGGGGGAGAATTTCACACATAAGCAAGGACACAAAACACGCAACTCAGTGCTGCGAGGGCCAGGCTTCGGGGCATGGCCTCGAGATCAACCATGGGTGTCGTGTCTCGCAGAGAGAAGGGACGATGCATTGTTAAGAGCCGAGTTTGGCATGGACCGACAGAGTGTCGCTGAAAGTTTTATTCGACAGCTACCCTTGTGTTGGGTCGCTTGCCGAGTCGAGGACTGCGATAAAAGCTGTATTATGCTAAGCTATAAGAGTTGTGAGAAGCTAAAAAGATGCTAATACAATCAACGAGTTTTGAGAGCTAGTGATCCAGCCAGCGACGAGCAGCTCACAGCAGGAGCCCTCTTGGAAGAAGGGCGGAGAGCACGAGGCAGTGGAAAGAGCCTGAAGGAAGGGTGGGAGAGGCATCACTGGGTGCCCGCGTGAAGCTGGCAGCTGCACACCAAAGGAGAGAGCACGAAGCAGTGGAAAGAGTCTGAACAGGCGCAGCCCTGAAGGGCGGGAGAGGCATCATTGGGTGCCCGCATGAAGCTGGCAACTGCACGCAAGGGTATGGAGCACGGAGCAGTGGAAAGAGCCTGACCAGCTACCAAGAGGAAGAGTGTCGGCGTTGGCGAGAGCGCCGTGGGTTCGACCCACACACACACCGACAAGCACCAGCTGGGAACCAAGACAAGAGTGAGGAACGGCGACCAGCGGACGAGCTGCGAGCGTTATCCGACGACGGCATCATCGCGCCAACTCAACTACCAACCAGCAGTGGAGAGAGCTGGCACAGCCAAGAGGAAGAGTGTCGGCGCAGGCAAGAGCGCTGTATGTCCAATACACACACGCCGTCCCAGCGGCCCTGCTGGGATCCTGAGGTATTTTCAGTACAAGGAATGCTGTACTGCGTTAGCCGCCAATTCAACAAGTGGCAAAGAAGACACGCACACCATTGGAAACCTCATTTGCCAGTAACAAAATACGATAATTGTTTTTTTACCCTTTTATCTGGCAACAAAACTGACACCTTTTTTACAAGGAGTCATGTTTACATTGACCACAATACCTGCGGTCGGAACGCAAACAAAAAAACAACAACTCTGATAATGTATTGGCACTGTCCTTGAAATTGATTGGTCCACACCCGAGACAGCTTTCTTTAGAGCCTCGTCTCACGTTGGTGTTGGACCAGAAGACGCCAAAAGGCGCACAACTCAAAAGACAATGCACCATCACAGTATGAGAGCTCGGGGTAAGCATTTACACCACCAATCAATTTCAAGGACAGTGCATACATTATCAGAGTTGTTTTTTGTTCGCGTTCCGACCGCAGGTATTGTGGTCAATGTAAACATGACTCCTTGTAAAAAAGGTGTCAGTTTTGTTGCCAGATAAAAGGGTAAAAAAACAATTATCAAGACACGCACACACAACACGCATATTGGGACTCAAGATTGTTCCAAAAAGTTTTCTTTGTCTTTCGAAATGGGGTGCCATTCCAAGGTGGTGCGTTAAATATTAGCCGATCGTGAAAAGCATCGCTGCCCATTGAGTTACATGAATACGGTCGTTTAGAGTAATTTTAGTAATTTGTTTCCGTTAACTGCATAATCTTACCAATGAATTAATTGATGACTACTTTTGCTTTAGGCACATGTTTCTTTATTACTGTTCGTATGAATATTGTCACAAATTTTAAGGACCTTTTCCCATCGCCGTGTATGCTCGCTGTACTCTGAGGGATTAGCCGATTGTTTTGTGCTCAGTTAACAAACCTAACCAGAGGGTTATTTGTACGGATAAATGAATAGGACGTCTCGAGGAGGACTGTGTTGACAATTCCGAGCATAAGTGTTCGCATGTTAAGAGTGTTTTTAGATATTAAAGTTGCTTAACACAGAAGAGTCTGAGTGGTTCCTTCCTAAGTTCATGCATAATAATCTTAATTATAAGAACTGTTTCCTGCGGTGATATCTGAATTGTGAGACCTGACATAAACACACTAAAACATCATCAGTAAAAGTTAGTGAGAATCATTGTATTATCCCGATTGATACTATAACCCTAGACAACAATGCCAAGCCTAATTAGCATAATTACATACACTTGCATAACTTCATACAATTACACCTTCATTTTATTATCACGATTGGTAATACCCCTTGGCAACGAAACAGGGCCTCATTAGTATTAAGTAATAATTTGCATAATTACATAAATTAGCATAAATTAAAAAAAAATAAAGACCGAATATATACAAGAAACCCCTGTATGGATCTAGAATGACTGTCAAAAATCGCAACATTGTACAAACCCCTTCCTCCTCTCCCTTTAGATGTGTGGCTTCTCGCGGAAGTGTGTTTCAGAATGCCGATTTAAGTGAGAATGATTTGGAAATCCTTCCCCACACTCCTTGCACACGTGCGGCGTCTAGCCGGTGTGCGTTCTCACGTGTTTTCTCAAAGTGGAACAACGTGAAAACGCCTTGCCGCACTCCGTGCACACGTGCGACTTCTCGCCGGTGTGCGTTTTCGTGTGTCTTACCAAGCCGGTGCGCAACCTAAACTCTTTCCCGCACTCGCTGCACACGTGCGGCTTTTCACTTGTGTGCGTTTTAGAGTGCGTCTCTAAATTGGAGCGCTGGGTAAACCTCTTTCCGCACTCCTTGCACACGTACGGCTTCTCGCCGGTGTGCGTCCTGGAGTGCGTCTCCAGATTGGAATTCTTTGAGAACCTCTTCCCGCACTCGTTGCACGCGTACGGCTTCTCGCCCGTGTGCGTCCTGGAGTGCGTCTCCAGATTGCAACGCTGCGAGAACCTCTTCCCGCACTCCCTGCAAACGTACGGCTTCTCGCCGGTGTGCGTCCTCGAGTGGATTCTCAAATCGCAGGGCTGCGCGAAGCACTTGCCGCACTCGGGGCACACGTTCGGCTTCTCGCCGGTGTGCGTTCTATAGTGCTTGTTCAGCGAGGTGCGCGCCGTAAACCCCTTACCGCACTCCCTGCACACATGCGGCCTCTCGCGGGTGTGCGTCCTCAGGTGCGTCTCCAGGTTGGTCCGCTGCGTGAACCCCTTGCCGCACTCGCGGCACGTGTGCATCCTCTCGCCGCTGTGTATCCGCGAGTGCGTCTCCAGGTTGGAGCGCGTCGAGAACCCCTTGCCGCACTCGGCGCAGGCGTGCGGCCTCTCGCCGCTGTGCGTCCTCGCGTGCGTCTCCAGGTTGGAGCGCTGTGCGAACGCCTTGCCGCACTCGGCGCAGGCGTGCGGCCTCTCGCCGCTGTGTATCCGCGCGTGGTTCTTCAGGTCGAAGGGCCTCGCGAAGCCCTTGCCGCACTCCTCGCACTCGTGCGGCTTCTTCCTGTCGACGCCGAATGCAGAGGCCTCGAGCGACTGCCGCCGCCCGCTGCAACGCGAACAGCCTCGCAGCATCCCGCCGGTGCGCCTTTCCCCGCGCCCCTCCGTCGGGAACCATCCACCCGGCTCCCTTGCACACTCTGCGCAGGGTGGTCCCGTCGCACTCTCGTCGTCTAGGCAGCACGTTGGTTTCAAAACCGACAGACAAGGTACAGGGTAAAATATATAAAAAAAAAAGAATTAAAAACCTCGGTCACGCGTGCCATCCCGGTAGATTACGGATCAACCTCGCTGCGGTCAACACTACGGCTCCACTTTGCGGACAAACCAAAAATCAAACTGGCATATCGGGCCACACATGGCAACTTTGATTTGTTTACCTCTGTCGGATGGCGGAGGGTCAATAATTAACCAACATTATTAGACCTACACGTTTTTGTGTTCGTTGCACCTCCGATTAGCACAGCTGGCTATGTATGGTGCGAAAGAAGTTTAACGTACATAAACCATCACGTGAACTCTGATCGTACTTGCAGTGGCTTTTGGCTGGCCATCGAACAAGTACAGCCACCGCATTGCGCGGCGCTTTCAGGTGCGATATATACTACACTATACTATACACTACATTAGTCGCTACACTATACCCGACACTATACACTACACTATACTTTTGGCTGGCCATCGAACAAAGACGGTCACCGTATCGTGCGGCACTTTCAGATGCGCTTTTGGGGCCGTCTGAACGCTCTTCCTTCCGATATTAGGAAGCCACTGGGAGCAATGCACTTTTAAATCATCGAGATTGAGATACTCATTGTTTTAGAACTTCTTTTTGTGTTTAGTTTGTTGTCCCCCCGCCCCCCGCACCTCCGAGTAGCACGGTTGGCTACGTACAGTGCCGAAGAAGTTCAACGTACATACATGCACGATCTAACCGAAAATAAACTAGAGTCGAACCTCTCTTAATGATGGTAATTGGTTCCATGAAACCGGTCATTAAGCGAGTGTAGTGACTGACTTGGAGAGGTAACTTCTTGGAGGCAATTCTTTAATTAAACACCGAGCAAATTGTTTACCACTCTCTGCTGTTACACGACGCTCTGTCTGCCGCTTAAACGCAACTATATACCGGTTGCTAGGCTACAACACAACGCTAGCCATCTGACACTGATGACGCTGAACTAAGACAGCCACCTACTGCTAGCAGCGCAATTATCAAGTGGACGACGACAGCGACGAAGGGGACAGCGACGAAGGGGACGACGACGAGGGGATCCCAATGCAACGACGGCCCCGATCCCCCGCTCGGGGTCCCCTTTTATCCTGTTAGCGTGGCCTCGCTCCGCCTCGGCCACGCCCCCCTTTTGAAACCCACGAGCGGGCTCTGGACGCGTCCCCTTCCGTAACCGTCACCCTAGTTCCCTCTCGGGTCGGTCACGTGGCCTGCTGTCAATCAGGGCTGCTTCACTCTGCAGATCCCCTTCGATGCCAGCAGCCAGCGCTATTCTACGTAGTGACCCACTTGATGTCACTACACAAGCACAGGAAATACACGTTAAAGGCTTAATTCTTTCCGATACCATCGAAAGTTATCATTTTTCACCCAGAAAACGTACTTTTAAATAGTTAAACAATGGATATACATACAGAAACAAGATTATAAACACGTAATATTAAAAGAAACGTGAATAATCAATGTGTAGTGACTGACTTGGAGACGGACGTCCTTGGAGGCAGTTCTTTTATTAAATCGAGCACCCTTTGAACAATACACACCCTACGCTGGTACACACTCTTCTCCCTCTCGTTTATACACAACTCTACGTAAGTTGCTAGCCTATTCACAACACTAGCCGTCTGACACTGACAGCGCTGAACCGAGACAGCCAACTACCGTCTAGCAGCGCAATATCAGGTGAAGACGAGAGCGACGAAGGCGACGAGACGGCAGTGACATTGGCGACGATCTTTAACAGCAACGACGGGGATCCCACTCCAAACGACAGCCCCGAGGTCCCCTGCCGGGGCCCCTCTTATACTCCGCTCCGGCCACGCCCCCCTTCTGGAACCTACCAGCGGGTTCTCGATGCGCCCCTTCCGTAACCTTTCCCCTGCATCCCTCTCTGGTCTATCAAGTGCCCTGCCATCAGTCAGGGCTGCTGCAAGCTGCAGATCCCCTTCCCTGCCAGCAGCCAGCGCTATGCTGCTACGTGACCGATTCTATGTTGCTACACATGCATTCATGTTTACTGCACCTACAACAGCCCGTCGTTAACAGGGGAATGAATGGTAAGCGAACACATTGGGCTCTATAGAGGTCCGTCGTTAAATGATTAGTTAACAGGGGTAGTCGTTAAGAGGAGTTCTACTCTACACTACTATACACTACACTATTATACACTATACTACTATACACCAACCCAAGTGGCAGGCCGTGTGTTTTACACCTAGGCCTTCAGAGCTATCCTCCCTAAATTAAACCACCTTCGAATAACCTCACCATGACATTAGGGCTATAGGCTATTGCCATTCGACGTAACCACCCCATATTCACAGTGACTGTAACCTTTATGGAGTGTAATAAAGTGGCTTAACACGTGAGCGTTACAATACACTAATTGCAGAGAACATGAATACATGGTGACTGAAACCATCAAGGATGTACCACTATTACGCAGTTTGACAGGATGCTGCATCACAAATAGACATCGCATAGCCCAAATCAATGTCATTACCAAAAAAACAAGAACTCACAACAACCATTCGCATTTACTCATACGACCACCAAGCAAGCATAAATGCCGTAAAATACCAAAAACACAATCAGGATTCAAGAGGCTTCCCCACATATTCCAGCCAAGCTGCTGGACCTAAACGCACATTCCACCATGCACACTCAAAGGCACAGCCAGGCCATTGAATCAGAACATCATTCACACCAGCAGCAACGATCTAAAGCAATAATAATAATAAATAGCTAGTAACAGGCCCGGCGCCAGGATGAAGTCCGTCTGTCTATCGATCTCCTCCGCTCCGTTTCAGTACTATGGACATCACGGCACCTACACACAACAAATAGCACTGTCTATGGGTGCTGAAACAACAGCTAAGCGATAGTCACGTGTATCTCGGCCAATAATTTTGCTGTCTTTGCAATTTTTCCATAGATACATGAAGCTTAAATAGAGGGGACACAAAAATAAAACTAAATACAAAAATACTAAAGCTCCCTTAAAACCCCTCGTGGTGCCGGGTCCGACTCGTAAAGATACATAAAAATCCATTAACCCAAAGCTGCTCATCATTTGAAGACAAAGTCCATCCTCCTTTCTTTCTTTACAAACAGTTCAATGACACGGTTGTACAGTACATCGGTGCGTTTCAGTTCCAATAAAAGGTCCTTCTCGATTGCCATGGAGGCCAGTGCTGACAGTCGAGCCTGCTCAGTCTTATTTCTTGAACACGTTTTCATGCGTTTTAGGGCTGAAAATTTCCGCTCGACAGAGGCAGCGGATACTGGGATGGTCACCGCCAAACATGCCAATGCGTAAAGTTGACGCATGCTCCCGCATAGATCTTTCTGCTGAAGGAAAGCGAGGAGGTCAGCAGGGCTTTTTGCTTCAAAATCTGTCATGGCATACATCACAGTCAGTTCTGTTTTAAGCCGGGGCAGGTCGAAGAGAGTTCCGTGGCTCTGCGTTAAGCTGGAGAAGGCCGCATCCGGGAATTTTTTCCGGTATGTCTGAAACTGCCGAGGGTCGAGGAGGGAGAGAAACATGACTTTCTCGTGGTCTTTAAACCGGTTCCGTATCTGGGCAAGGATGTTGTCCAAAATGTCGCTGTGAAGTTTCTGGAACCTTGCGCGAATGTCCCCCTGCGCTTGGCCTCTCCGTGTGCTTGGCGCACCTGCTTCGCGCAGAGTAGATTCATAAATCTCACCAAATTGCCCTCTCTCCCTCTCAATGGTGTCACAAAACTCGTCCATTCTTGCCAGACAGAATTGTACATCGAGTGTTTTGTTCTGCAGTATTCCAAAAAGCACATCCGAATACTCAAAAATCACATGAAAAGTGGAAAGCAAAAAACAAAACTCAAAATCACTCAGATGTGCATTGTATCCGTCAGCACAGCGCACAGAATCCTCGTCGTACTCATCATGGTGCTCTAATATGTGCTCAAATAGCTCCTTTAGGGCAACTCTCGTCTCAAAGACTGTGCTCACCAATCTTGAACTATATTGCCACCTTGTTGGTGCCACACGAGGGAGATGCCGCTGGCAGATATCGTCAAGCAGCTGCGTGCGCCGAGGGGATCTGGAAAAAAACGCAGCTAGGCCATTGAGATGCGCAAAAAAGATCCTACATTCTCTAAGCTTCGATGCCCCTTGAGTCAGTACTAAATTAAGTCCACGTGCATAGCAATGTATAAACAAAGCCATAGGAGCCCTCACCTTAACTTTATCCTGCACCCCATTCAGTCCAGATGCCATGACGACAGTGCCATCAAAGCACTGTGCCACAACTTTATCCAGGCATTCGTGTTCCTCCAGGAATCGGATAATGAGAGCAGCAATGTCATCAGCCTGCTTGCCGCTCGTAACATCGTCAAATCTGACAAACCTCTCCTTGACACCAGTGTCTGTCACATAACGGAGCACCAGTGGCAGCTGGGCTGCAGAACTCACGTCTGTAGTTTCGTCCACCATAACTGTGACAAAAGGTGCTTTATTGATCTCCCTTTTTATCTCCTCTCCCATCACTTCAGCTATAGCATTAATCAGGTCGTTTTGTATTTTGCCTGAAGTACCAGCAAACACTTTGTTAGTGGAAAGGTGGTAATGCAAGTCTTTGTCGTGCTCGGCCAGGAAGGAAATAAGCTCGACAAAGTTACCCCTATTTGTGGACTCCTTGCTTTCATCGTGTCCCCTAAATGAAAGCTCTTGTTTACCCAGAAAGATGACACAATCGATCAGTCTTTTCAGTATTTCCCTATTTTTCTTGACTTTTTCGTTGTGGAGCTCCGTTTCCCTTCGCATTTGTTCGTTGAGTTGTTGATCCACTCGGGTGTCTCCGAACGTTTTCAATAGCACCGTTGCTTGCAAGTGTCCTGCCGTGCTTTGGTGTCTCGTTGCTGCCTTGGTTAGGCAATTCAGGTTTGCAAACCCAGCGTGGCTCCAAACACCATATCGGTCGGTTGCAAATAACAGGCATTCCCAGCAATACAATTTGCAATGTTCCTTCGACGCTGTAAGCCAGGTGTACCTTTCGTAGTTGCTCGATTGAAAGTGCCGCACAAATCCTTTCCCTGGCTGGGACAGGGCTGCTAGCTGCGGGGTTGGTCGACCCTTCCTCACAATTTCCAGCTTTTCTTGAAAGGTCCTTCTCGTAAAAGGCTTTGCCAGTAAATCCGCCACCAAATCCATTTCTTCTCCTCCTTCAGCCAGTGCGTTAAAAAACAACAGGGCTAAGTAAAAATCTAAACAAAAAAATCTAAAGCACTACATCTAAAAATCTAAACGTCACGAAAGAAAGTTAAAATAAATCTTAGATGATGCTACGTTACGTGCTAGCTAGTTTTACTTCAGTTAGCTAACTGGCCCTCCGATCTCGCCACACGAAAAATGCTAACGTCTGGGGCTAAGCAAACTAGAAGGCTCCAGGGTGTCAAAGAATATGCCCAACCTGGCAAACTCGAAATCTGATTGGTTAAAGAATATGACAATCAACAACATCGTCCCTATTTGCTTCAACAGCAGAGGGGATTCACTCGAAATTCTGAAGGCCTCAGGGTAGATTTTTCACCCGGAGACAGCACAGGTGGAAAATCTGATTCGATAAAAGCTCGAATTCATATGAGCTGCACTGAAAGCAGCGCAACTGAGGGAGATGGTAGCATTGAAATGACGTTAATAGACCGATAGGAACAAACTTTGTAAAATACAAATAGCATTAATGAAAATATATATTAAATTCTAAGAATAAACTTTACTGACTTAAAGCTTTAGTAACTGCAGGAATTCATATTCTTGGGTCTTTCGGTAAAGTCACGTAGACAGGTTCAAAGAAAATAATAAAAAATAACAGAAAACAACGACGTGTTCGATCGCAACGTCGAAGACTACCGCTTAAGTTGCGATCGAAACGTCTTAGTTTTCTGTTATTTTTTTTATTATTTTCTTTTAACCTATCTACGTGACTTTACCGAAAGACCCAAGAATATAATTTTCTGATTCTGACAATCTCTAGGCCAGCAGAGAAGGCTTTGCTGGCCCTGACGGCCCGCCTCTGCACTACACTATACTACTATACACTACACACTACACTACTATACATTACACTAATATACACTACACTATACACTACTATACACTACACATTGGGCTCCATGGAGGCTTGTTTTTTTAAGCGATTAGTTGTTAACAGGGGTGGTCGTTTTGAGGGGTTCTACTCTACACTATACTACTATACAATACTATACATTACGCGACTATATACTACACTATACTACTATACACTACACATTGGGCTCTACGGAGGCCTGTCGTTAAGTGATTAGTCGTTAACAGGGGTGGGTCGTTAGGAGGGCTTCTACGGCACTTTTGAATCAATTGTTACTCACCTCGACCGATGTCCTCTTCCTCCAATTCCACCTCGATGAAGTTCTGGTCTGCGGTGGCCGGACATCCTTGGGAACTCCCCGTCTCCTCTGGCCTCTCATCGCTTCTCTCAACTTTAACATTCTTCAGGTCTGGATCTATCAAGAAGAAGAACAGCGTGATATCGAGAGGTTTAACCCTTTCCTATTCGGAAGGAAAACTCTACTAAAGTAACCTTATCGGTACACCGAGGCTCCCACCACAAGGCCACGTGCGAGGGCGTGTGGCACAGTTTTTGTGCTGGCTATCGTAGTAGAGTGGCGGCGGTCGTGTCGCTGCTCCGTGCACGTGGTTCTAGCTCTCCTCCCTGCATCCCAGAACCCTGCTTTTTCCCCAACCCCCTTTCCCTATACCATACCTGTCAAGCCATATGGTTTACCCCGTATTCTTGTACAGGGAAATTGAGTTTTCAGGTACATACGGCGTATAACCGTTTCAATACGGGCAAAAGAAAATTGTCTATTTATTTGTGTTTCTCCCTTGTGATGGGACTTTGTAGGATTAACTTTGAGATTTTTAAGGGCACGCGGTGACGAATAAGGTCTGAATTGCTCTGTAATAAGGTAGGCACTAATAAGGGGTTGACAGGTATGTTATTATCCTGTGTAGTGGCGAGTGTAGTGGTGAGTGTACTAGTGGCGAGTGTACACGTGGTGAATGTACTAGTGGTGAATATAGTGGTGAGTGTACAAGTGGTGAGTGTACACGTGGTGATTGTCTATTTGATTGTGTTTCTTCGTTGTGATGGGACTTTGTAGGATGAATGTGGAGATTTATAAGGGGCATGGGGGTGACCAATAAAGGTCTGAATTGGTCTGTAATTGGGTAGGCACTGATAAGCGCTTGACAGGTATGAGCATCTCTGTTTTTGAGCTCCAACCAGCAGTGGAGAGAGGAGCGGTCCAAGGAAACGGCCAAGCTTCAGGCTGTTAGTAGCAGCTCGGCAGGACTATGGACCGTGCGGTTAGAGCGCTGATATTAAAACAAATGTATTTTTGTAATGCACCAGGGTCTCTGCGTTAACAGTCCCTGTGTGAATTTCGGTGGACGCTCGGTGGGGAGTAGGGATGGGCAAAGGAACTTCAGCAGAAGGGGAGAGGAGAGGAGCACAAGGAGGCTGCCTCTGACGTCACCCTATGGTGGGAAGGAGCCAGCAGGTGCCTGGCTCATTTCCTCTGCTCTGGCGACAGTGTCGGGCCGGTGGTGGTCCACAACACGCGGGGTCGAGCTTCACCTGGAGTCGGGGTTGTTTGTGATTGCAGGCCAAAGCGGGTGGTAAATTCGAAGGCGAAAAGTTCCTTATTTAAGGGTGTGCGAGTGTTCGGGAACACGTAAGCTTAGGTGCGAGTGTCGGGATAAAGGGGGGTCATTCTGAAAGATATTGAGTGTGCACTGTGGTGTTCTAGAGATACGTTACTGCTTGAAAACTGGCATAGTGGCTCGTCTAAAAATTAAAGACAGACCAACCCTATTGAATCGCCTCAGATGCAGGGTCTCGATTGCTCTTGCTAGACTCGACCCACAATAACACAGGAGTGACCTGGCTGACGAATATATAAGTGACGCCAATAAAGGTGAGCCTGTGAAAGCAGACAAGAGACTAAGTGTCACATACACTATACGCTACACACTACACTACGATATACTACACTATACAGTATATACACTATACACTCCGCTACACACTACATTTCTATACACTATGGTCCACTACACTATACACTACACTACTATACATGACAGTATAAACGAAGATACACTACACCACTAGACTTAATTGAAAATTGATTTCTTTAGAACTTATTATTTTGTGCGTTTAGTTTATTGTCCTTCCCCCGCACCTCCGGTGAACACAGTTAGCTACGTACGATGCGGGAGAAGTTCCGCGCGCATACGTACATACGTACATACAGCACGATCAGGCTATGTCTGGCGATAAAACAAGAAGGCATTCAGTTTTTTTTTTTTATCCGTGATCAAAGTGGGAACCCACCTTGACCAATGTCCTCCTCAAAGAACTCCGTCTTGATGAGGCTCGGGCCAGGAGTGGACAGACGTCCGTAGGAATCTCCCGTCTCCTCTGGTCCGTCGCCGGCTTCTTCACCTGAAGCAAAATTCACATCCCGGCCTGTCATTTTTGGAAATGAGAAACACTGTTTATGATAGACGGTGGGTCTAATTTATGTGTAATTTATAATAACAAGGTAGTCCAATTGTATGGAAAATAAGAATAGGTTTTACCCTTTCTGGCAATAAAACAGTTGTGTTAAGATGTTCAAACGTCAAACAGATACCTTTTGCAAGGAATCATGTCTGCATTAACCACACGTACTTGTGGTGAACATGGAAACAAAACATGCTCTACATCATTAGACCTCCTTTGCCAGTACCAAAATATAATCTCCGGCCGATCTCACCAGCGGCAAGGAGAGCATCTTCGCGTTTGACCCGACAATCGTAGCGCACGCCAAAACTCGCGTCGTCTTCGCGTTCTTGTTTGATGAATGGCAAGTCGATTCGAGAATCCATCTGAGAAAGTGCAGACAAACAAAAAATTACTATTATCTATTTCATTTATTTGGTATAGCCCTGTGAGCCATTCGGCTCTTGAATCGGGTGCAACCGCAACAAACAAAAAAAACATGAACAAGAAAACATCTTAAAGTGACTATGTGTGACTGCGCAAACAGAAAATCCAGGAAAAACAGCAAAATATTCCTGAAAAAGCGCCGTACACCAACGCTGTGTGCAAAAATCCCAGTGGGATGCAAGTCAAACAACAACAACAACCACAAGACAACTTAGATTAAGGCCATCAGTCTAACTCCGTACTACAACAAACAAAAACATGGCCAAACCAAAAAACGTTATCTACATCACCAAAATAAAGCCATAAAAGCAATGTAACAGTGATCATAGGAACTGTGACAGAATTTTTAACAATAAACTACATAAACATGTAACACCAAACCCTAGAGCCACAGCTGGCTGCATGAGTCACTCCGCAAACAACAGGAACATCAGTCGGAGTATCAAATTTTTTTCAATGCACCTTTAAGATCAGCACGCTAAATCAAAATACAGATAATACTTTGCAGCGGTCATCCTGGAGCGAAACATTTTATTTTATGCCACTGATTAACAAATGATTAACAAAATAACATCTCTCCCCCCACCCCCCTTATATGTAGCCTGTAATAGACTGTTGGGGCAAGTGCTGTTAGCGAGTAGCAGCGCCTCTGAAGGCCGGCAAGGCACACCAAGGGAGTGGGTGGCCAACACCACGCCAGGCCGCCTTTGTCTCTCCCCAGTGGCGATATTGCGTTGTGCACTACCACTCCCCATACCGGCACACGCGTTTAGAGCGATTTGCCTGCTTGCCAGGGTCGCTTCTGACAAAAAAATAGCTATTACATAGGAGCTCGGTGGGCTTAGCTGGTAAAAAAATATACAACACACCACACACCACTTCTGCACCGTATCACACACACACACGATAAATAAGATACCTGTCAACCCCTTACCAGTGCCCTACCTTATTACATACCAATTCAGACCTTAGTGATCATCACGTGCCCTTGTAAATCTCAACGTTCATCCTGCAAAGTCCCATTGCAAGGCGAGATACGCAAATGGACACATCTTTGTGCGCCCGTATTGAAACGACTGTAATGCCGTTATGGGCCCCTGAAAACACAAATTTCCCCTGTACAAGAACACGGTGAGGTGGGGTGGGGGTGGGTGGTGGTGTGTGAACCGTACGGGTCGGCGAGCAATGCTAACAAATTCACCTCCAGGCGAGGCTAACCCGGGCGGCTTGCTCAGCAGCGTCTTTGAAGATTCACCCGCAGGTCTCAGCGATCAGAGGCAGCCGCCATCGACGTGAAGAGGCAGAGGAAGAAGAGGAGGAGGAGGATGAGGGCGTGGCCAATGACGCGGAGGCTCCAACGGACAGCGACGAGATGCGGGCACAAGACGACCGGACGGAGCTGAGTGCGTAAGGGGGAGGAGCTTTGCACAGGGATGGGGGATGGGGGAGGGGATTGCCAGTACGGCCAGTCTTCTTTGGTTCTTTCTGTATGCTTTAACTTAGCTATTTCAATGCTAAATTCTATGCTAATTCCTTTGTCAAGGGGTGCCTCTGCGGATGTGTATGCTTTAACTTTAACATAGCCATTTCTGTGACCAGTCACAAGCTAATCACTCAGCCATTTCAATGCTAAATTCTATGCTAATTCCTTTGTCAAGGCGCTTTGTTTCTTCTCACACAGCTTAAAGGTCGCGATCTGAGCGTGGCTTTTTCACTCCAGCGCTGTCCTCCAGACAGTCTCGTCCCTTCACCTGATGGAGGCCGCTTGTGTTGTGGCCGAAACGTCGTGATAATTTTATTGTGTTATTTTATTTTATCAATTTATTATTTTATTCTCATTCTACGTGACTTTTACCGAAAGATCTTCTTCAAATCATGTAGAATGAGAACAAAATAATAAATTAATAAAATAACACAATAAAATTCTCACGACGTTTCGGCCACAACACAAGTGGCCTTCATCAGGTGAAGGGACGAGACTGTCTGGAGGACTTTACTGAAAGAACCAAAGAATATGAATCCTTGCAGTCACGAAAGCTTTAAATGGAAATTTAACCGCCAGTACGGCCAGTCTTAGTATATATGAAAAATCTTGATTTGAAGAGGTATAATTTTTAGGTATCAAATAATACCTACGTGACTTTACCGAAAGAACCAAAGAGTATATATTTAGAAACTAAAAATTTGAAGGCCGTAGATTTAAACCCTTTCTGGAAATAAACCGGGAGTTGTGTTAAGATGTTCAGACGCCAAATAAATACCCTTTTGCAAGGAAATCAAGTCTGCGTTAACCGCACACGGTACTTTGTGAGCATGCAAACAAACACGCTCTGATAATAATAATAATAGACAGGCATTGTCTTTGAAACGAATTGGCCTATACCAGAGACAGCCTTCTTTTTAGGTCTAGTCTCACTACAAGTGTCAGACCAGAAAACAACGCCCAAAGGCGAACACAGTACAAAGACAATGCACTACCAGATGTTCTAAATCGAACCAAACATTAAACTAATTTTCAATGGTACAGTATATTTTTTCAAGTAGTGGTACCCCAAACTTTCGCAGCCCTTAAAATTCCCTTTTCACACCATCAATAGGTAAACTCCCCCTCCCCCCCTCGCCAACCGGCATGTTCACCCGCATGTACACCACCTCTACACCGTTCATCATGCTAAGTCGGCCAATTAAATGCTATTTTTTATGCTAATTCCTTTGTCAAGGCACCTTAATTTCTCTCACACAGCTTAAAGGTCGCGGTCTGAGCTTGGCTGTGTTTCACTCCAGCGCTGTCCTCGAGACAGTCTGGTCCCTTCACCTGATGAAGGCCGCTTGTGTTGTGGCCGAAACGTCGTGATTTTTGTTTTATTTTTTACCTGCGTGACTTTACTGAATAGAACCAGAGAGTACTACCAGATCATTTAAAGCTCGGGGTATAACAGTCTTGTCTCTAACGCCTCGTGTTTAGTTAACGCAAATTTGATGTATATACAACGCGGTGAATGTTATTATAGGTGTAACCAGTGTGGTTGTTTAACACGTGGGCTTTCGCGACCCAATATCCATGAGGTTTTTGGGTTAGATCGCGTTAATATAAACGTGTCAATAAACCCGCCACCACCCGACACAGCCAATAAGTAAGGCTTTGTTCCGTAAATGTATGTTGATTACCCTATAAATAAGCCAACCAGTAATTCGATATCCCTTGTAATGTTTATGCAAACATTAACCCCCCACCCTCTAACCTTCGCACCTGATTGACTCACAAGTGTTATGTATCTTTTAATTTTATTGTTTGTTGCGGTTGCACCCGAATCAAGAGCCGAATGGCTCACAGGGTTATTCCAAATAAATGAAACTGAGATTACATTTATCCCTCTATTTAAGACCGAAACAAGATAATTTCTCCCCAAATCTGGCTGTCACCTGATGATGCTGGTTGTAATTACTGGCCAAACGTACTCAAATTGTAAATGTCGTGGGTTTATTCTCCAACACAACTGTGTGCTGGACTAGTAACAAATTGGCTACGTTTTGTTTACGTGACAACCCCGTTACTAATTTGCTGTGTCGGGTGGCGGCAGGTTAAACAACACATTTTCCTTTACGCGATCTAACCCAAAAAACCTCTCATCATGGACAGTGTGGTTGTGTTACCAATAAATGGTGCATACATTCGCGCTGCAGGATAATTAGTGGGTGTTAAACCCGTGACTTGCTGGTTCACGGTTGGCTTGGGATAGCTGGGTTGGTGCGTTAGAGCTACGATCCTTCGTCAAACAAACGTTAGGCGATTTAAAGCTTTCGTGACTGCAAGGATGCATCTTCTTTGGTTCTTTCGGTAAAGTCACGTAGAATGAGAATAAAATAATAAATTGCCCTCCAGACAGTCTCGTCCCTTCACCTGATAAAGGCCGCTTGTGTTGTGGCCGAAACGTCGTGATAATTTTATTGCGTTATTTTATTTTATCAATTTATTATTTTATTCTCATTCTACGTGACTTTACCGAAAGAACCAAAGAAAACGTTAGGCGGGCACGTGACTCGATTTCCAGAGCCACGTGACTACCGGACAAGGGATTTTCAATATCAGGAGGCTCGTATCGAGGGGCCAATCGTGACGCCAGCAACGCTGATATATTACAAGTCACGTGACCACTGGACAAGGGGATCTTGAAGAGCGAGGCCCGGGACAATTGTGACGCCAGAAACGTCGATTATTACAGAGTCACGTGACCACTGGACTAGGGATCTTGACGAGAGGCAGAACCGTATCGAGGGGCCAAACGTGACGCCGGCAACGTTGCTATGACAGGGTCCATTGGCGGTACCTTGTGTGTGCGCTGGGAACCATACGAATAAACAGATGCCGTTTTGGAACCACGTCACCCCCACCCCCCTCCTCTGAAAGTCCTTGTTGTGTGTGTGCACGTGGCCGGTGTTGGGAGCCAGAGGGCGAGAGTCGTGTCGCAGAGGGAACCAACAACGAAAAATCGACGCAGGAGTGCTACCAAAACCTTTATTTTAGTTAATTATTGAAGAGCGCCACCCCCCCCCCCCCCGTGTGTCCTTGATAACGGTCATGGCCAGGAAAGATCCAAGGCACAGTGGGCACGGGTCACACAGGGAACAGATTTTTTTGTTTTTATGTAACGCGGATTGCGAATTGGATATAGTAATGCGATCACTGCGCCAGTATGAATAATCAGTGGTTTGTCATACGGCTGCCTCGGCGTGGCACCGTCGCACAAGGCTTTGGGATGCTGCTGAATGCTTCGAGATCAGTGGTTCTTAACCTTTACTGCAGCCTTGCACCATTTTGGTTCTCAATACTAAAAACATTTATGTTAATACATACATAGGTTTCATGAAACAAGGCAGTTGTATAACAATAGGGTTTACCCTTTCTGGTAATAAAACAGGCGTTAAGATCTTCTTTGGTTCTTTCGGTAAAGTCACGTAGAATGAGAATAAAATAAAAAAAATAAGACAATAAAATGCTCACGACGTTTCGGCCACAACACAAGCGCCTTCTTCAGGTGAAAGAACAGAACTGTCGGGACGACAGTGCTTTAATGAGTGCTGCTGGGCACTCTTATTTTTATTTCATTATTTTATTCTCATTCTACGTGACTTTACCAAAATAACCAAAGAAGATGATTCCCTGCAGTCACGAAAGCTTTAAATCGAAATTTAAGCGTTAAGATGTTAAAACACCAAACATAATCCTTTTTAAAGGAATCCTGTCTGCATTAAACCACACGTACTTGTGAACATGCAGAGAACATGCTCTGCTAATATATGCATTGTCTTTAAAACTGATTGGTCCACACCAAGGTAGTTAGTACAACGTGGTAGTTGTGAATACTCTGTATTGTGTTCTGCCCTCCTCTCGAGGATCGGGTGACTCCACCACCAAGTGGCACCAGAGGGTTGTTGAACGGCGATTCTTTATTTAAAAGTGTTCTTCTGAGAAGCATTCGTGCATCTGTAATCATGACCAGATGTACACCAATCAAACCCACGTTACACAGCACCTCACTGCTCAATACATGTACTGTACAGTGTCCACCCGAATCTAAATACGTGCCCTGTACTCTGAATTGATTACTACATTGGTGGGCACGGTCTCCTGTGCAGTCACGTGAGTCTATGGGTCCAATCCATGGTCATCATTATCTACATTCACAATTATACGTGTGATTCATTACATTAAGCCCATACTGGCTACACCCAGCAGTGTGTAGTCTATTTTAGAGTATGGGGCACGCCCAGCAGTGTGTAGACTATTCAGAGTACGGGGAACGCCCCCAATTCAGATGTTGGGGTCGACTCCGTGCTGAAGGACTGAGCGGTGTGATGTGCAGGATGATGTAGCAGGGGCTGTGTCTGGTCATGATTGCAAGCACGTGAATGCTCCTCAGAAGAACACTTTGCTACAAAGCACTGTTGCCATTTCACAAACCTTTGGTGATCCATCTCTAGTGGAATTGCCCAACTTCTCAGGAGGCTGGAACAAAACGCAGGGTATCTACTCATCATTATCTCAGAACTTAAATTATTATTGGTGTCATCTATCAAGCCAACCTGTCCCCCTCGTTATGATCGATGGGAGCAGAGGGACGGGGCGGACCGGCTACGAGTCCGATGCTGTGACAGCCTCTTCCTGCGCACCTCTCATGGCCCCGCAGCATCATCGCCAGTGCGTTCTAGAATGCACCTCGAGATTGGAGCGCTGCGTGAACCTCTTCCCACAGTCTTTGCACGCGTGCGGCCTCTCGCCTGTGTGCGTCCTGGAGTGCGTCTCCAAGTTGGAGCGCTGCGTGAACCTCCTGCCGCACCAGTCGCACGCGTACGGCCTCTCGCCCGTGTGCGTCCGCGAGTGGGTTTTCAGGTCGGAGAGCTGCGCGAACGC